TATTGTGGTATACTTGGACTCTGAGCGAAAATAAACAAAATTACGTTGTTCCCGTAAAAAAAAAAAATTGTTCCGTTGGCCACCTTGGCGCCACTTTTTCGTGGCGCCATATGCGGCCGCGTAGTTCGCGTATGGGTTAAACCGGCCCTGTGAGTGAGCGTAGCGAACAAAATTTAACCAGGACGTGATTGAGCCATGCGAACGTGCTCATCTTGAAAATGAACGAGAATTTGAGATAAAACCACATTAGGACAGGACGACGTCTGTCGGGCAAGCTAGTGTTATATATTTAAAAAATTTGGTTTTTCTATTCCAAGTTGGTTTGGCTCTTCTACCCGACCGATTTTCATAATTGAAGTCTCAAATTGAAGGTATGCACGCACAGATTTGCCATGAAGCATCGGCATATAATTATCTATAGTATCACCCGGTTTATATATAAACGAAATTTGCTCCCCATGTATTTCTTATGTGAGTTAAATTTTGTTTCTATTTGCCAAGTTCGTTTGGCTCTTCTACCGGACCGATTTTTTAAGATTGAGGTCTCAAATTGATGGTATGCACACACAGATTAGCCATCAAGCATCGGCATATATTTATCTATAATCCCAATCGGCTTATATGTAAACGAAATTTGCTCCCCACGTATTTCTTATTGGAGTTAAATTTGATTTCTCTTTGCCGAGTTCGTTTGGCTCTTCTACCCGACCGATTAACATGATTGAGGTCTCAAATTGAAAGTATGCATGCACAGATTTTCCATCAAGCATCGGCATGTATTTATCTAAAATCCCACTCAGGTTACACGTAAACAAAATTTGCTCTCAAGGTATTTCTTATGGAAGTTAAATTTTGTTTCTCTTTTCCGAGTTTGTTTGGCTCTTCTACCCGACCGATTTTCATGATTGAGGTCTTAAATTAAAAGTATGCACGCACAGATTTGCCAGCAAGCATGGGCATATATTTATTGATAATCCCACTCTGCTTAAAGGTAAATTAAATTTGCTCCCCATGTATTCCTTATGGGAGTTAAATTTGGATTTTCTTTGTCGAGTTCGTTTGGCTCTTCTACCCGACCGATTTCCATGATTGAGGTCTCAAATTGAAGGTATGCAAGCACAAATTTGCCATCAAGCATCAGCATCTATTTATCTATAATCCCATTCGGCTTTTACGTAAACAAAATTTGATCCTCATGTATTTCTTATGGGAGTGAAATTTGGTTTCGCTTTCCCGAGTTCGTTTGGCTCTTCTACCGGGAGTATTTCATTTGGTCCAAAATCGTTTGGTCCAACAGTTGTAAAACAGTTCGTTTGGTCCAAAATCGTTTGGTCCAAAAGTACAGGCAAAACCAGAATTACAATTTTGCATTGTGGAGTAAACTTATGAAATATACTGTACGTTTCACATTGGACCATTCGATCGGGTCGTTTTATCCAACACTCTAATACGAGTTCGTTTGGTCCAAAAGTATAAACCATTGCGTCCCTCACATTGAATGCGTTCAAATAATCGCCTTCACGTCGTCAACCCAACCGCCTGCCTTCCGTGGCCTATTTGTTGTTGTTATGTTTCTAAATAATTGATATGTTTGCATTGATATACATGTACACATACATATATTTATTTTTATATAATGTGTTTGTGTCCTGTTTACTTTTCATCCCCAGTCAATCTTAAAACAACGCGTTTTAATTCCCTAGATTTGTGGATAAACGTTGACTTTGCTTTGAGTTTGCATTTAATGTTAAACAGATGGTTTATTTAATTTATCTATATATTAAATTCAATCTGTGTTTGTTGTGTGTTTGTCATGGTATTTGTAGCAACCATGTAGTTAATAATACAAATATATAAAGTGAATTTCTCATTGAAGATATATCCTATTTGTAAAACTTCCCAAAATGTTATGTTTACTCCCCATGAGAACCGTGAATAAATTATTGAAAAGAAAAGAGTTTGTATTTGTTGTGCCTTTATAAAAATTATAATTTTGTTGTATACATTTAATAGTTTTTAGTACTGCAACGCGTGCCGGATAGATACTAGTCTGATACTGTATATATATATATATGAACACGTTTTTTATTTTGATATTTTGAACCACTTTACGGATATTAATGAATTTAAATAGAGCTTAAATTGAGCTTTAAGTTTGCTTATGTACCCTTTAGTAGGCCCTAGTTTGAATACTACAAAATGTGGTGACTTTAACGTTAAAAACATAGAAAGTCGACATGTTTAATCAAAGATTGTATTAATATTATTGTATACGACGGCGGATATTTGAACGCCTTCAACGTGAGGGACGCAATAGTTTATACTGTTGGACCAAATGAACTCGTTTTAATGTGTTGGACCATATGAACTCGTATTAATGTGTTGGACCAAATGAACTCGTATTAATGTGTTGGACCAAACGAACTGTTTTACAACTGTTGGACCAAATGAACGGCAATATAAACGTACAGTATATTTCACAAGTTTACTCTACAATGCAAAATTTTACTTCTAGTTTGGCCTGTACTTTTGGACCAAACGAACGAGTTTTTAACTGTTGGACCAAACGAACGGCAATATAAAGATTGGACCAAACGATTTTGGACCATTTGAAGACCATCCCTTCTACCTGATCGATTTTCATGATTGAGGTAGCAAATTGAAGTCATGCACGCAAAAATTTCACATCAAGCATCGGCATATACTTACTTACCTACTGTTGCCTATTACATTATTACAACAGTAATGATGAAACCATGTTTTGGTTTTGGATTGGTTTACCATATTTTATTGACTAAAAAAATAATTTTCGAATTCATACATCAATTTAAGATGTATTTTACCAGTTATAATTATATACAGTCCAACCTCAGTATAACGAATCTGAAGGGACCGAACTGAATATTCGTTATATCAAGGATTTTGTTAAAACGAGGTTCGTTATATAGAGGTTAGGTTTGCAAGAATTTCGCTAAGTCAAGGTTCAGAACCAGCGTCGGTCAATATAGGTCGGGATTTGACCTCATTAAAATACAATTAAAGTAGCATAGACTACATTACAATACTTTACAGTACAGTGTTTACATTGTACAGTAGAACCTAAATTATCCGGAAAAATAAAGGGGAGGGATCTTGAATATTGCGCAATCATGACAATGGCATTGACCTTGGTACAGGTTAAAAACTGTAAGTTTAAAATCACAGCTTGTTCTAACCCTCCTAAAACCTACCCAAACACTGTATTGCGTAGTCATAAACCATGTAAAGAACAAAACAAAACAGTAGAAAGTTTTGTAAGCTACTGCTCGTGATAGGCCGGTAGGCTACTTACAGTACAGTACTGATTTATCACAACAGAGGAATGTCAATAATAATGATTAACTATAGCATTGGTGTTGCTAGTTGAAACAAATCGTATTGAAAACAATAAATTATTAGATAAGTCATTATAAAAGTGTATAATCATAGCCAACTTTAGAATAATAAAAACACTCGTAAAAGGAATGTTAAGATAACGATGTTGCTATTCTTTCTCTTTGGTTTTGTTTTTATATTCTTTCTTAGTTTTCTTTTTATCCAAAAATAGTACAATTCACCATAGTTATCCCATATCGCCCAATCACAGCTTACTAAACATTACGTCGTCATCAGTCCTCAGTGAATGAAATCAGTTCAGTTTTCAGTGTTGCAACATAGCGCGCGCAGCGACAGCAGACAAAGACGTAAAACGGAGCAGACGAATGTTAGCGCAAGCGATGACGTGACCTTTCCATTTCATTTGATAAAGAAACAGATTTTCCCAAAACAATAATTGGGTGGGGGATTTGTTATATCGAGGGAAAGACGTAGACAATTCGTTATGCAGAGGTTAAATTCGCAATGTAGAGGTTCTGACAATGATAAATTCGTTATATTGAGGTGTCTTATTTTAGCCGAAATCACGAAAAATTCGTTAAATCAAGGTCGTTGTTATGGTTTGTTCGTTATGTAGAGGTAAAATATACATTATGTCTTATGGAGAGTTCTAGGGGATTAAAAAAAATTCGTTATATCAAGGAATTCGTTATATTGAGGTTCATTATATCAAGGTTAGACTGTAATCCTATATATTTTGGTCTAAGAACTTTCAATGAAATATCGGTTTTTATTTAAGCGATTCAGATACTTATTACTCAATCAAAAATCATAAATTTGGTTTTCCTCGGATATCATATTTATTTTAAAGCTGCGGAGCAGCATGGGTCTTCTAGTATAATTGATTTTTCTTTGATTAAATGTTGTTGTTCACAATTTGAATTTGGGTTTAAAGTGTGTTCCTTATGTTAAGTATGCAATTCCAATGTTAGGTGCTTAATCTGTACCATTAATATTAATGAGTAAAGTGGTGTATGGATTTCACAACTAGAGACCGTTGTATTTAACCACAATAGGCTCTGTTGCTATTAAAGGAATAAAACATAAGTGATGTTGTTTTGTTAGGGGGAGGGCATCTTCTGCATGTACTGTGGGGATGAGGGGATGACTGGGACGGGTGGCGTCGTCCTGTAATCCAGCTACTGGGAGGTCACGAATTGTGGATATTTATAGGGATGCACTGTGGATGCGATGCTCCCTGGTGTGGATTAACGTCCGCACTAGTGAGTACTACGACTATCCGCAGTATTATCCTGATAATTAGACCAATTCGTAAATTACAAGGAAAAATGTGGTTCGGATTCCACTATAAACTGTAGGTCCCTTAGTTGCCATTAGCTGTATGGGCTATTAATTAACAGCTGTGTCTAAGGAACATGTCGGCCTTAGTCACTAACAAGACTACAAGATCGCGCCACTCATCCTACACTCATCCTTCACTCATATTTGGGTTAAAATACGCACATAGTGGCGTCCCCATCTTAAATAATTGAATTGAATTGAATTGAATTGAATCATCCACATGTACTGCGGGGATGAGGGGCACTGTATGTGTGAAAATTAACACAGGTATTTTTATGTCCCAGGTTCCAAAATTTCTTTTCCGGCCCTCAAAATGGAGTACAAAAGAAATTTCAAGAGGAATCCTGCAAGTCAGCTGTCGAAACTTCAATAACCCTCCGTTGGGATTTTTAAAAGGGATTGTTTCATTTTCCATTACACAAAAAGAACAAGACATTAATTTAGTAAAACAAGTTCTTATTGGAATGAAAAACTGTATGTCATCTGATGACATAACTAATGAGAGGTATCTTGACATTTGGAATGAATTTATGAAATCGCTGTTTGGAAATGTAGTGAAATTTGTAAAAGACCCAGCCGATGTCATCAATGATTTACTCTCCACTGCAATACCAAACCATAACCAGATGACAGACTTGGATCAGAAAGTAAGTAAAAATCCTACCTTTTTAAAAAAATAACAGAAGTTTATTGTCTTACTTTTCTTATGATTACATACTTGATTTTTAGGCATATGTGTATATTTCAAGAGTTTTCAGAGAGAAAGTGTAATTTGTTATGAGTAAAAGTAGGACTCATCATTTGATAATATTGTAATTGTTACATAAGTGCAAAGGTAAAATTTTAATTATTAGATAACTTTTGGGGTTATGTCATTTCTTGTTTTTTTTATATTTTTTATTAGTGTTAAAAAAAAACATTTAACTTAGTCAGTGGAGGCTAGTGGCCATCTTGGATGATTTCAAACAGCTGCTACACCAAAGTGATTATAATTTAAATATCGAGTATACTGTGGAGTCAACAAATCTGTCAATACCGCTCTAATCACTTTCATTGAGTCAGAAATTGAATCAATGGATGAGAAAAACATAGAAGCTGGAATTTTTATGGATTTATCTAAAGACTTTGACAGCATACTATTCCATAGCAAAATTGTTGAAAAATTTAGTAGTACAGGCTTTAAAACTCATATTTAAATTGGTTTGAAAGTTACTTTCAAAATAGGAGTCAATATGTAGAAGTATCAAAAACAGAAGGAAATCAAGTGATAAAATAATTTATTTTTGTAAAAAAATACAACCGACTTCAAATGCTCTAAAAAGAATGAAATAATTTCAATAAAGTAAACTTTTGTATTAGTCAAACTCACGTATTTTAAGTCGGCGCGGCTCTATGATGATTTTTGATACAAAATTTAAAGAGGATGTCCACATTGCAAGTGACTATCTATAACTAAAGGTGATTATAATCTTATAGTGGTATTAACGAGTATCTTCAAAAAGATTATAATGTATTTACATATTTCTAACTTGGAAAAGTAACGTTTTAATTTCAAACTAGCTTCTTTTCCCTATCATAATATCAAAATAAATTATTTTCCTATTCATATAGAACATTTGTGTGTGTTATTTTCATAATGCAATCATTCTGAAGTAAACATAAAATACAAGAAAATACTTCCTTTGATATATATAAACAAAACAGTTCAGTATGTTTTTTTTATATATTTATGTTATCCAGCTACAATTTATTGATTTTCAAAATACACTCTCAATATCTTTTATTTTATTCATATTTTTGCAGTTAGAGCCGGTTATAAGCCGGCCGACTTGAAATACCTGAGCTTGACTAATACAAAAGTTTATTGAAATTATTTCATTCTTTTTTGAGCTCTGGAAGTCGGTTGTATTTTTTTACAAAAATAAATTATTTCATGATTTTTAGTGACTGTATAATTTGTTATATATTAATTACTTGAAGTTTTTTGATAAGCAAAACTGTTTGAAACAATCAAAAGTGTCACAGAAATTGCAAATCAGCTTCCCATTTCCGAAGCAGGCATAATATGATTGACAGTGAAGAATATTAATAAACATTCATTCCACATCTTGACATCTTCAAATGCATGTTTAGTAATTAAAATATGTAACACTTTTAAGACGATTGACGATTATGCAATCTTACACCTCTTATGTCGTTTAAGGAATAATTGCATCTAATTTATATTTGGACCTCTTTTACGAATGCTTTGGTTTTCACAATACACCTTAAATTGTCAATATCATACAGCTATTCACTATGTTTTATAAGTCAGAACATTCAATACTCAAAACAGAATCATACACATATCAGGTCAAACGTTGAAATACCTTTTTTATAGTAACCAAAACAAAATGCTTTTTTTCAATGTTACTTATTTAGGCTCCGTGGCAAGAAATAGTTTATTAATCAATATGAAGCAACTGTTTCATGAAGAAACTGTCTGTAGCTTCATTTAAATGGTTTTAACTAACAGCTGTAGGAATGTTATTATTATTTATTGTGAATATTTGAGGTTTTCAGCATTTTTCACCAAACAAGTATTTTTCTTAAACATAATGCTATATATGGTACCAAATAGAAACTCTCCTGGTTATTTTGGTGGTGGAACCACGCTAATCGGTAAAAGAATCATAGAAAAATTGGTGGACATACATAGAAAAAAAAAAAAAAAAACATCGCCACAGACAAATTGAGAACCTCCTCCTTTTGTTGGTAGTGGGGAAGTCGGTTAAAAATATCAATCAATTTTGCAACCAATCAAACACGGGGTACCACAAGGGCCAATACTTGGACCTTTATCATTTATTATTTACATCAGGTATATGCCAAACTATCTAAGTAAACTTAAGGACATAAAAAAATCAACTTATACTATATGCAGATTTTACTCTAATCTTATTATGTCTGCAATTACTGGCTTGGAAATGGAAATAAATTTATTCATAGAATTAGGTAAACTTCAGGATTTTTTTCCTTCCAATAATCTAATATTAAACTCGCAGAAGACTAATTACATTCATTTCACTACAAAACAAAACCAAAACAAGAATGATTTTAACATTCAGGTACATTCAGGATTAGTGGTTTTATTGATAATAATATAATAGAAAGGGTAGATAAATCAAAATTTTTGGGAGTTTATATCGATAACCATCTTAGTTGGGACCAGCATATAGACAATCTTTTAGCAAAAATAAAGTCAGGAATTTATGCCTTAAAAAGATTATATTATCTTTGTAATTCGAAAGTTCTAAAAAATGTTTTCCATGCCCATGTGCAATCCCATATATCTTATGGAGTTTGTGTGTATGGAGGTACAACCAAACAAAACCTTTGTGAAATTTTAATTAGTCAAAAAAGAGCTATAAGAGCCATGTTAAATAGCTCGAGTTTGATGAATCCGTAAGGGAGCATTTTATTAGGCTAACCAAAATATATTAACTGTCTATAGTTTGTATATCCTTGAGTGTATTATGCATGTCAGGAAAAATAAAGCCAATTTTACAACACATGAAAATATACATAACCACAACACCAGAAAAAAAAACATAGTCTTTTCACAATTCTGAGCTATATAAAAAGAAACCATCATATGCCGGTTCTGTATTTTTAAAACATATTCCAAAAGAAATATTGAAAATAGTTTTTTTTATCAGAAATGCATTTTACTCTCTTGAAGAGTTGTACGATTTGACTAATGTAAATTCTAATGCTACGTATCTGTCAACTTCATAACTGAACAATTCAATGCAATGTACTGAGTTAGATTAAGGAACTGTGACGTTATTTATTGTATTGCTGTACATGAAACAAACAATAGTATATTACATTACTTGTCCTGAAAATAAGTGTTTGCCAGACGAGTGTGGTCGTTCCCGTGCGAGACAAAGTCGAGTACGGGATTACCATATGAGTCCGGTTAACACATTTTGGACGAGTGACGTACTATAGTTTACGCCATACAGTAGAACCTCGCTAATCCGTCACCTACGGGACCGGGAGCATGGTCAGAACAGCAAAAAGGTCGGATTATCAGAGGAACGCGTCTATTGACATAAAAACATAGTAAAACTGTATTTGGACAGACCATGGATAACTGATAACCATGTTTAATCCAACATGGCATAAAACAGTTAATTCCAACTCATAAAATAAATAATGTAATAATTTGCATATTACATCATAAAAATACAATTAGTAGGCTATTGCGCAATCATGATAATTATGTTATGTCATTACCCTTGGTTCAGTAATAAAAAGTGTAACGTTTAAAATAAAAGCTTTTTCAAACTTTTACTCAAACAAACAAATTGCCAAACATTGTACAGCAAAATAAAGAACAGAACAACAGAAAGTCTAGTAAGCTACTGCTAGTCATATGCTACTGATACGCTGTTTCAGGACAGAAGAATGTTGATAAAAACATTAGATAACGCATAAAAAAGTATAGAATAATAGTAGGCTTCTTATAGCATAACAACAGTCGTAAAATACACCGATAAAGATAACAATGTCATAAAAACATCGCTTATTCTTTCTCTTTGTTCTTCTATTCTTTCTTAAATTTCTCTTCAATCCTATCATTCAACAAGTTGCCATGGTTACTAAACACCCAATCACAGGCTACTAAAGTTGTCATCAGAGGTGCCCATCCCCCCCCAAACCCAGAGGCGCAATCCCCCCCCAAGCCAAAGGAGTAGTCCCCCCCAATTTATGCTGCCGTCTATTTAAACCTACCCTCCCCTCACCAATTTACCTGACAATTTTCCCTAATCCCTTTACCTCATAAAACAAGCATTTAAAGTATTTAGTAAACTTGAGGTACGAAAAACAAACTTGCTGATAATCAAAATTAAATGTTTAATATGAAACGTCATTTAACAATACATCAATATAAATCTAACTAATGGACGAATTAGATGTTTTTCCATTTACAATTCAGAATCTGTATTGTCAGCCAATATGTGTGCTCAGTCAGTATTGCAATAGACAACGTCTAGGAACACCAGGAAGTTGGGCTCTCTATAAATCCCAGGAAAGTTGTAATGGTACCCTTCACAAGAAGGAGGAAACTGGATGGGATCGGCCCACTAAGACTGCAGGGTACTGTAATAGAGCTGCAGAATCAGGTGAAGTATCTTGGTGTAATTTTGGACAGATCACTTCACTGGGGACCACACCTTCAAAAAGTCATTAAGCGTGGCAAATGGTCCCTTATGGCATGCAGGCGGATGGTAAGTGGCACATGGGGGTTACAGCCTAAACTTATGCACTGGCTGTATGTATCTGTTGTTCGACCCGCCCTTACATATGGTTCGCTTGTGTGGTGGCCAAAGATGGAATCAACTATAGCTGTTAAAGCTTTAGCAGGAGTTCAGAGGCTTGCTCTTATTATGATAACTGGGGCAGTAAGTAGCTGTCCTGGAGCGGCACTTGACTGTCTGCTTGACATGCTACCTATTGACATTTATATTAAGGTGGTAGCAAGTAAAACAGCCCAACGCCTTAGATGCGGAAACTTATGGATAGCCTCAGGGAACAATAAAGGGCACTCTAAAATTGTTCAGGTGGTACATAATGATGAATTGGACTTACCTTCAGATCACATGTCCAAAAAATACTCCTTTGGAAAGCCTTTCAAAGTACTAATACCAGATAGGAAGGATTGGTCTGGGGGAAAAGGACCCATACCCACAGGTGACTTAGAATGCTATACTGATGGTTCTAAGATCAAAAATGGGGGCACTGGAGCAGGTGTGCATTGGATGAATGGAGGCACTGGTATTTGTCTTCCAATGGGGGTGTACCCAACTGTCTTTCAAGCGGAGGTCACTGCCATTCTAGTTTGTGCTCAAGAACATCTTAACAAAGATATCAGAGACAAAACAATCAATATCTTTACTGATAGTCAAGCGACCTTAAAAGCATTAAACTCTTACGAATTCAACTCCAGGCTCGTGTGGGATTGTCTTGCTTCTGTGTCTGAGTTGGGTAGGAGAAATGACCTTACGCTTTGCTGGGTACCAGGACACTCAGGCATTAAAGGAAATGAAGCTGCAGACAGATTGGCAAATACTGCCTCTGCGACATCATTGTTAGGCCCGCAACCCTTCTGTGGCATCTCACGAAACAGTGTATGTTCTGCGATTGCGTCATGGGCCAAGGAAAAGCATCGCAAACGCTGGGTCGATGTTCCCCTTCTTAGGGTCAGCAAGCTTACTCTGTTTAGGCCTTCCAAAAAGGTTGCCTGTGACCTCTTGAGACTAGACAGACGAAGAATTAAATTAATTGTTGAACTGATAACTGGTCATGGAAGATTCAGGAAACATCTACAACGGATGGGCTTATATGATGGTGAACCGATCTGTAGGTACTGTGATAGGTCAGAAGAGACAGCTGATCACTTACTCTTTGATTGTAATGAGCTCTCTGACGCTAGATCGATAACTCTTGGAAATATGGCTAGAGGTAGATTTCTTCCTGAGGATGAACTAATTGGGAAGCTACAGGCATTCATTGGGCGCCTCAACTTGTAGGTCAACAAGAAAGCATTTAAGTATCTGGGGTGCGCAATAATTCGATTTCGGATGAAGTGCTTTAAGGTCTCGACCTGCCCCTGTTAGATAAGATAAGATAAGACAACGTCTTCAAAACGTACAACAATATAGGCCTACTCGGTGAATTAATCTACTCCAACACAGTACTGTAACTTACAATATATTAGGTGGCGTTAATTTTTACAGGGCTTAAGAATTCAAACAGCTTTAAGTGCCTTAATAATACTTTGGCAAAAAGTATATTGTTTCAAAATTATAGGCAGAGTCACGAAATAAGACAGACTTATTGCTCGCCACTCCCAGGCTGCCTTCTACAAAAATCGTCGGGCAAAATACCCACAGTATCTCTCAATAATTACCACCAGTACAAAAGGTTTTTGTGGCGAAGTAATCTTATAATTCATTTTGATAGCCCCAGGATTGCCTTTTATGACTAATAATGGTAGAAACGCATCTTGTCAGACAATCCGTTTGTACACAAAACACGAAACGATAGCAGATAGGCCTATCAATTCACGCGTGTATATATTTCCGCGGGCAGGACTGGAAGTAAACTGAATCAGGTAATGACAGAAAGACATGGTGTTTATGTTATCAAAAGCTGAAATTGGACTAATTCTAGTGACGGAGGAGAGTGTTGAAAATATAATGGGATTCATAATTGATTTTTCCATTCAAAATTATTGACAATAATAACCAATTTATATGCTGGATGGTCTCGACATTCTACATTACTGCAAAAAAGGAAATTTATTAAATACTTTGAGTAGTTTGAAATATACATAAAAACTATTGACAGCACAAAACTTTTTAGTGAAAACACTGAATCCCATTATATTTTCAATACTCTTCTCAGTCACTCACTACAATAGTCCAATATCAGCTGTTGAAAACGCAGACGACAATCCAGAGACCACGTCGGTCCGCCATAACCTGAACCTTTTATCTATGCCTGAACCTGATTCAGTTTACTTTACTTACTTCCAGTCCTGCCGACGGCAATGTACGAATTGACAGGCTTATCTGTAATAGTTTCGTGTTTTGTATTAGATGTTTGTCGTATTCTGACGACACCTCCAGAAGTGGATCTTTTTTAAATCCTGACGATGGTGGAGTTAAAGAACCACCAAAACATATATAGCAAGTAAAATTCGACACTGGTATATTAAGGATTGTCTGGCAAGGTCCGTTTTTACCATTCTTAGAAGCTATCTTAATTACGAACGGCAAAATGTTGTTGGTGGTGATAGTGAGCTACTTAGAAACACTTTTTCGGGCTGCTTATACAAAATTATACATTCATTATGACAGCTAGCAAAAAAATATCCCCCCCCCAAAAATCTCAAAATAAGTCCCCCCCAAAAATTCCTGTGGCGCAAACGCGCCACAGTACCCCCCCTCTGGGCACCCCTGGTTGTCATGATTATAAAATACCCAATAACAAAATGTTGTGACATAGCAAGCGCACAGCAGACAGATGTGTCATGTGTAGGCCTAAGGAGCAGACGATTGTCAGTGTAGACCTAGAAGGATTAAACTGATAGCTTGACCTTGAAGCTTTGATAGGCATTTCTTTGTTTGCTTCCATTTTATTTTTGTCAAATGCCAAAAACAATAATGTGGGAGCCTACTTAAAATTAATAATGGGCAGACATGGTTAAATGTACAACAAATTTCAACACATTAGACAAAAAAAAAACGAGATGTTAAGGTCTAAGAGAGGTTATGTTTTTGTTTCTTACTACTAATTGCCACCCAAATACAGTATAATCAGCTGATTAGTGTCCGGTAAAACTCATTACAGTACAGTAGTACGCAATGAAACCTCATTTGATTATGCTGGCAGCAAACAGCTGTTTTCTGGACTAAATCCTTGCGTGGGAAGTCAAAATAGTGTAGTGTGGCGTAAGGATGTTTTTAATTGAATTGAATACAAAGACAATACACATCCATTTTAACACTAAGCCTTAAAGATAATGTGGTTAAATGAAAAAAGTGTGGAAAAAGTGGTTAGGTAATTAACATAAGTATTATGAGAATTTAGATAAAGTATTATGATGAATTCAGATAACATGATGTTAAATTGCCTTGAATAAAGATGTAGGTAAACATCACTAACAATAAATTTGCCATCAAGATTATTAGGCCTTAAAATAGTCCATAATTTCTATTTGAACTCCCTTGTCCAATATCTTTTTTTTTTTTTTTGTTCAAAAAATGTATGTACCGCACTAACCACATTGGAGATAAATGATTTACAGGTAGCTCACTAGTTTAACTGAGTAGTTAAACCATGATAGTGCTCGTTTCAGGGAGACTAGTGCTTGCATTTACTCATCTGTAAGACATGGGCAGCACATTTTGATATCGGCTTCCCAGAAGCGGCTGGATATCAGGGCTTCTACTGTAGTCCTAAATAAGACAATTATTTAAATATACTTTTTAGATACTATCATTTTACCTATTTGTGTGGAAAAAGTGGTTAGGTAATTAACATAAGTATTATGAGAATTTAGATAAAGTATTATGATGAATTCAGATAACATGATGTTAAATTGCCTTGAATAAAGATGTAGGTAAACATCACTAACAATAAATTTGCCATAAAGATTATTAGGCCCTAAAATAGTCCATAATTTCCATTTGAACTCCCTTGTCCAATACCTTTTTTTTTGTTCAAAAAATGTATGTACCGCACTAACCACATTGGAGATAAATGATTTACAGGTAGCTCACTAGTTTAACTGAGTAGTTAAACCATGATAGTGCTCGTTTCAGGGAGACTAGTGCTTGCATTTACTCATCTGTAAGACATGGGCAGCACATTTTGATATCGGCTTCCCAGAAGCGGCTGGATATCAGGGCTTCTACTGTAGTCCTAAATAAGACAATTTTTTAAATATACTTTTTAGATACTAACATTTTACCTAATTGGTTTGTTTTAGATACTGACTTCTGCTCTCGATTTAATAACAAGTTTGAGCTCGTCATTGAAACTGTTAAGTTGTGTTGAATTTTTAAATAAAAGAAGGTGTAAGTTAGACTTGTATCCAACAAGTTTTATAGAAGCAGTGATACACCAAGTTAAAAGATTTCCTACAAAAAACTTTGTGTTCAAAGTTTACAAAACATTTTTTGACACTTATGAAGACTGTATAAATTTGCACAACAAAACCGAGGCATTGACTGAAGAATTTTTGAAATTGGCGGCCCCACTAATCACAAACTACAAGAACGTTGTATTAGATAAATTGGATTGTCTTATAAACCGCAGAGAGGATCAGAATCATAGTAGCTATAGGCAGAAAATGAATAATGGCGACTTAAGTCGTAGAGACATCTTAACACGACAACCGACTTCAAATGACAACAAATGTGCTTTAGATCAGCAATCTACCAATATGAATAATGTCGACTTAAGGCTTAGAGAGATCTCCACACGACAACCGACTTCAAATGACCAAAAATTAGCTTTAGAACAGCAATTAGCCAATACTATGATAGTAAATCGTACTCCTGGGCTAACTGAATTACTACAAACAAGTAATCCAAGAAATATATTCCACATTATCAGGCCTATGGGAAGTTTACATTATCTAAACGAGCTGCAGAGTTTTGGAGGTAAGTGTTTATAATCTCTGAATTTTAATTGTATATTACAAACGAAAACAAGCCTATTCATTAGATGCATGCAAATTTGTAGGTATAGGTTGTGCTTTTAAATTTGGTAACTCAGCTCTTGTGTATCAAGTTAAACAGGTTTTAATTTGAATTATTTTCGTATCACTAAACTATTAAACTTAATAAAAAAAAAACTATTTTAGTTAATACACCCTTTAGAGGAACAGACCTCACTTTCAGCTTATTCTGCATAAAAATAGTACATTGATAATGTTTTTATATAATTTTTAAAACTATCACTAAACTTTCTTAAACCCTTTTCAGGTACTATCAAAAAGAAATGCAACAACATTACAATGAGCTTTATTCTCCTGGAAAGTGAGCGAGGCTATTGGGATAATTGCTACAGGTTATATCAACAGATGATTGAATTTAACCCTGATGATGTTCAGGTAAAGGTTTTGGATTTGTTGTGCAACTATTGTACTGTTGTTGCTCATTGTTTAGTTGGTTGCATTTAAATTTGTTCATTAAGTTCTCAAATATTGGGTCTGAAACACTCCGTAATATAATGCAAATACGTATAATATCCATCTGTATTATATACTAGTTGTTTGCCCCTTCTACGTACGGGAATCTTGTAAAATGAAATGAAATGATGAAATGAAATGATTTATTATTGTCGTTAAAACTATGTACAAAGTTCATGACAATCGTCAAAATAAAAACAAAACAATCAAGATGGCTCTGGCAACTAAAATATCTAAAACTCTAAAACTAATGTAATGTAGAAAGTTGAAACCTTATATTCAGAACAGGAGTTGGTTTGCATATTTAGTGTGCATTTTTCCAGATATGCTGGCAAAACTATTACTGCATAGGAATACATATAAAATTAAGTAAAAAGCTTAAAACTCAACCTTTTAATTTATTATTGCTAAACATATTTAGAGCCTTGCGACTTTCTTTAAATGAAAACATAAAAACTGCAATAAAAATTATTATAGGGGGAAAATTTCTGAATCAGACAGGGGTCCGGAACTATTTTGGGGAATCGTTGATGATCTTTCGGGCAGAATTAGCTCCAAAGAACAGGGTGTCTACCAACCGGGAAAACCAGGAATTGTACTTAATCTTTTACTGGCCATGAAATGTACGGGAATTGTCCTTAAATGCCAGACTATGTCCTTAAATTTTTAATGGGTCATAATTTTATCGATCGCTAGTTGGTTAGGAGCACATAAAAGGTTTATCAGATGTTTCTTTACATTTTCATAATTTATTACTAGAGTAATTATGCAATAAAAACCCGATTAGCAGTCTCAAACCCATTAATATTTTATCACGACAATCAAGTGTCAAGTCAAGTACTTCCAAGAATTGTTGACTCAGTAGTAGTTTAGCTCATAAAAGTTGAATCACTTTTATTCCTTTACAACGTATTTATTTATTACTAGGGTAATCATTATTAGATCCCAAACATATTTTATCATGGAAATAATAGTTTTATAAGCCATAACAGCCATTATGGCTGTTAAATTTCACTTCTTACTTGTACTTCAATTTGCCGCTGGCCATTGCCTAGTGCCATAAAACCGTTTATGGTTTTATATAAAACATGTAACTAATCTACAGTCTTATTTTGTAAGTTAAACCTTTTTTATGGATATTTTATCTTTCAATTGACAAAACCAAAAGCATTGTTGTTTGCATTAAATTTTTATCACTACGTAGGCCTACTTGGTTTCAAATGATGTCATTGCATTTTCTGTATCTTTGTACATTGTTGGCGGTCAGGTTTAAATTTTTTTTATTTCCCATATTTATTTATTGCGTTGTATGCTTTAAGCAATCAAAATCTTATGAACTAGAATGATGATATTGTAGTGACATTGCTGATATTATAACCTCATTGTTTGTTACTCAGTTTATATAGGCCCTCCTAAATAATTAGGCATAGGCCTGGGTATTTTGATTCTTTGAAATTGCTGTAAAATATACTAAGAAAATGTAATTGAGCCTAAGATAAACTAATGATTGCTATGTGTCGATATTAACTTTGCAGATGAAAAGACAATAATCTTACTCTGTGCTTACTGGTAGCCGCTTACCATACCGATTTTGTACCTAGAACCGAGTTACAATATATTCATTATGCATTAAAGATTTTTTTCTCAAAAGTAGTCGAGAACCTAACGTTGTGCCAGGGCGAATAATGCCAAATTAATCCGCCTGGATCGGATAAGCTATGTTATGATGTTTCCGTGACCGATGGGGATATTTAGGATTTTGTCGCTATAGCAGGAGACAATGATTGCGTTTTTCTGTTACACTATAAAAGCTGTACCTAAAGTATATGTTTGTTTACTTTCAATAAGTTTCTATTTTGAAATTTAATTCTTGTCTATTATTATTTACTTTTCTCTCTGGAACAACTACAATGAAGAACAAGATTAATACAGTTTGAGAAATCAGGAATATTATTCTGTAATCACACCGACAAAGGTCCTTAAATGTACGGGAATTGTCCATGAATTTTTTATCCAGAATGTAGTAGACAGCCTGAAAGAACCTTTCCCTTTTGAAAAATTTGTACCTGGTTCGTCGACTAATAGGGATTTAAAGATAAATATAGCAAACGAGTTTAATCATTTCTTTACTTCTGTGGGTTCAAAATTGGCAAACGCAATCGATTCAGGGGGGGCTCCAGTCGTAAACGACGTTGACTACTCACACGACACACACTTTGCGTTCAACACTATTACACACACCGACATATTACATTACGTCCAGGGTCTGCGCCTGGCCATGATGGCATCTCGGCCTTTGTTCTTAAGGAAAACATCCAAGCTCTATGTGCTCCTCTCCTGCACACTGTCAATCTTAACCTGACATCTGGTATATTCCCAAACATGCTAAAGTAAGCAAAAATTATTCCATTACATAAATCTAATGATTTCACAGACATGAATAATTATCGTCCGATATCTTTATTAAGTGTAATCGCTAAGATTTTAGAGAAAATTGTTAAAGACCAACTTATTTCTTACCTCCACCAGTGCAACATTTTAAGTGAAAATCAATATGGGTTTAGGAGTGACAAAAATATCTCTGACGCTTTATTTTTTATCAATAAAAGCATAAACTAAGCAGTATTCAGCAATAAACGAAGTATGTTAATATTCTTAGACTTAAAAAAAGCATTTGACTCAGTGGACAGAAAGCGTTTGTTGCAAAAACTTGAGCTTGTCGGGGTGCGCGGCACCTCGCTCGCTTGGTTCAGCAGCTACCTCTCTGATAGGCTACAGACTGTCTCACTTGGTGAAGTGTCAAGTGATGTGCTACCAGTGGAGTATGGTGTCGTCCAGGGATCGAATCTTGGCCCTGTTCTATTCCTCATTTACATCAATAATATTTCTAAAATTCAGACAAATGGAAAATTAATTTTTTTTTCTGATGATACTTTATTATTCGTAACTGGAACATCCTGGGAGGAGGTGAAAAGCAAGGCAGAATCAGACCTATTTTTACTTAAAAAATGGCTTGACCAAAATATATTATCTCTCAACATATCAAAAACTAAATTCATGCCGATTTCATTACGTAAGACTACCGAATACAAACTTGAAAACCTAACAATTCATGTCTGTGGAAGTCATTTCAACAACTTGTGTTTTTGTAGCGAAATTGAAAGAGTTGATTCATATAAATACCTTGGTATTGTTTTCAACTCGAGGATGAAGTGGTCGGAACATGTTGAATATCTAAAAAATAAACTACGTAAATACATTTATGCATTCAGACAACTTAGTGATGTTCTCGAAGAGCGAGAAATTAAAATAGCTTACTACGCATACGTTCAATTATTGTTATCATTTGGATTGCTTTTGGTGGTGCTTACAAAACTATCTTGCAGCCTCTTTTTGTAATGCAGAAAACAATTTTAAAAGTTGCTTTTAAAAAACACTTTAGATATTCAACTGACGACCTGCAGAATTAGGAGTTTTGACAGTTAGGCAGTTGTTTTTTAAATTTATTTTAGTACACATGTACAACAATTTTAATAATATTTTTGAAAAAACTACTCATTCACACAATACACGCTTCTCTCAAAAGTTGTCTATTAATCTTGAGGGCATGTGATGCTCACACAGTGGTCTGGCGTTGGTATTCTCAGCTTGAGCTCTTTCTGAAGATTGTACGGGGTTATTACAAATGATGTTCATGATTTCATACATACATAAAATATAGTTTTATTTGTTATACAAAGAAATAAAATGGTTACAACTTTTGAAAAACTCAAAAAGTTTTGACACAGATACACAGAACTGTAAATGCTCGATACGGGAACCCCTTATGGTACGACAGATGTCAATAATGTATTCAAGCTCTTGCTAGACTTTGAAAAGTGTGTCTAGGTCTATTGTTTCGATAGCATTGGTAATCCGTTGCTGGATATCAAGTTTGCTATCTGATAATGGTGGTGTGTACGCCTTATCTTTGATGTATCCCCACAAGAAAAAAATCAGGGGCTGATGTCCGGAGATCTTGTAGGCCAGTTCAGGGGGTGTCATTATTCGGACCACCGAGCTTGTTCCATATCTCAGGCAGCACATTGTTAAGTTCAGCCCTCCTACAAGTAACATTCAAATGCATCCATTTCTCTTAAATTTCAAGTGTCACTTGCCAATATAGTGGTTACTTGGAGGATAATCGTTAAACCTGGTTCTAATGTGTCGTTGCACACTAATAACAGATTGGTTAATGTAATATTCCAACTGGCAAAAAGCTTTCCTGCCTTCAAATTCAGCCATTACACAACACTTACAACAATTGACTTGACAAACAGCTGATATGCACCCAAACCAATAGAAATGAAACTTTATGAGTTTTTCTTTCCAATGGCACCAACTAAAATAGTCTTGAAACAAATTAACCCAGTAATATTTATAATCAAAATCAGGAACATTATTTGTAATAACCCTGTACTTATGGTTGCATTGGTTCAAACAACTGCGTTGGTCCGAATGTAACAGTTTTCAAGTTTGGCCTTGGTACCAGCGTTGGGTGTAGTTGATTTATATGCCTCTTCAGAATTCTATCAGATAAGTCGAGAACTACAAGATAGTGCCTTTTCTAAAGCTTCTTCTATACTCAACCAAACTGCCATGTGTTTTTGTTTTTGTTGTTGTTTGTTGCCTGAAGGTAGTTATTGTTTCGATCTAAAACATAGCTGGTATTATAGTATAGGTAGGGATGGACGAGATTGGATTTTTAGTTTGAGACGAGACGAGACGAGAATTTTTATTTCTCATAAAACTTCGAGACGAGATCGAGACGGGATTTCCCTTCTCATACACAACGGGAAATACACGTTAAAAATTTTTACCTGATTTTGTAACATTGTTAGATGACTGTTTAAATACAAAAATAATGATAATAGGCAAGAATATTTACAATATTTTGTTAAAAAACATCAGCATAACATTTTTTTATTAATCACGCCTAACTTATTAAAAATGCCTACGATTAGAAAACATAGTGATATCAGTTAGGATAGATTTCAACTTATCCTAAAATAAAATAAATCATAAAATAAAAGCAATATTAATTTTTATAAAATAGTTACTTGATTTGACTTTTTATAGTAATAAAACATTCCTCACACTGCTTACACTTAACAAAACTTCTCAAATGTTATTAAAGTAATATTATTTAAATAATTAAAGTAATATTTACATTTAAAGAATTAATTAAATAAGAACGCCTTCGCAAAGGAAACGCAACTACAACACGCTCCTGTATTGCGGGTATTGCATTGACTTTCTGCAGGCGTTTTTAAATTTAAATTTTTTTTTATTCTCGTCTCGATAAAAATCTCGGCCAAAAAGAAATCTCGTCTCGTGTAACGAGATTTAAAATTTCCCGAAAATTTCCCGAAATTTCGAGACTTGACCATCCCTAAGTATAGGATACACAAATAAGAAAAAAAGTTTATTAGGGATGGACAATATTGGATTTTTAGTTCGAGACGAGACGAGAGGGGATTTTTTATTTCTCATAAAATTTTGAGACAGGATTTCCCTTCTCATACATAACGGGAAATGCACTTATGCATTTTAACCTGACATTTTAACCTGATTTTGTAAAATTTTTAAATACCTACTGATTTATGACAGATGATTGGTTAAATACAAAAATAATAATAATAGACAAGAATATTTAAAATCTTTTATTAAAAAACATTAAAATTTCTCTAAATTTCGAGACCCATCTATCTCTAAAGTTTATACTTGTTGTTAATGTTTATCAAGATTCTGACTAAAAAACTGCAATATTGACTTATAAGATACATATTATAATAATATAAGTATCATAAGATACAAATGGAAAATGGAAATCTAAAGATACATTTGATATATGATTTATGTTTGGCCCCTGTAATCTACTAGTTAGTAAGTTCAAGGAATCTTTTATGAAATTTGTTTCTTTGCTATTTCCTTCAACTTTAGGTGTCTTCATTATTTTAAAAGTATTTTAGTTTGGAAATCACTCAGTTTATGGTACACTTTGACATTTGCCTTAAATATTACAAATAAAAACCAAATCAAGCAAATGGAAATTCGCTTAGTCTACAGGTTTGCTATGGTAGCGACATATTTGTTGGTGCATAAGTTAAGTACCAACAATTATTACACGTAAATCAACGTTTTGTGGTAACTGTAGAAAATATAAGCAAACATTAATAGTTCTATTGGCCAATTTAAATGTTTACAACTAAATACTTTATTTCAGGATTTTGTAAATGAGGAAAACAACCCATTGAAGAGATTATTGACAATAGTACAATGCTGTTTGGAATCACATCATTTAGAGGAAGCAATACAAATGTGTACAAGTAAGTTTGTTAGGTTCTTAAGTTTATTATTCTAGTCTAGTCATATTAGAGAAATTACCTAAAGTGTAAAACTTGGTACGTATATTGAGTTTTACTTCCGGAATAACATACTAAAAGTCCTCAAAAAAATTCTTGTGCTACGGCCGCCATCTTGGAAAATGGCGTCCAAAAACCAGTTTTTCCCCTATTACTCAAAAACTATTCATCCTATAAAAAAACATTAAATGTAAAAAATGTTCGCCACATAAAGAGCTACAACTTTTGTATTTAGAATATTTCGATATAATTAACCCCTTAGCCATAAAATGCAATATTCAGAAAATACATTTGAAAATTCTTAAAAAAACATTAATTGCCTTTAAAAAAGTTTTAAATAAATTATTTAAAAAAACTATTTTATTATTTTAATTTAAAAATTAGACTGTTCTGAACATTTTCATACCAGTAACATAACTTCTTTCAATTTATATTTTCTGTGAAATTTTAAATGCCGTTGCCAGACTACCATAATAAACTAGCATAATAATAATAACGCGGAAACTCTTGGCAAGCAGTAGAACTTCGGTCTGATGATGAATAAGATTGAGACAATTACATAACAGGATACAATGATAATTGTTTGAATAAAAACATAATTAATTGTATTAAAGGGGTTTGTTTTTTACTACATACAAAATTAAACTATTTCCACTTACAACACTCCAACTCAAAATTTTTGTTATTTTTGTTACCCTAGCTATTTTTTGTAGAGCAATGAGCTATCTTCAGGGAGAGGTTCTTTGCCAGCCGATTTAATGAGTGGGGTTGTTTCTTAACAAAGCTTATTATGATATTGTATTCCCTTTATTTATATCTAGAGAGATGAGGGTGTGTCCCTACAATAATAAGTCAAGAGTTTATGATGCAACAATTAAATATTTATTCAACAATTTTATTAAATATAACATTCAGTCTTATTCAGTAATTATCACAGTGATCCTTCTCACTAACAATTCACAAATATTAACAATTCATAAATATTTAACTTGAAATTGAAAAAAATCTACTTTAAATTATATCACAAAAATATTAATGACTCAACAATTCCCTAACTCGCAATAATGTAATCCCTGAGAAAGAATTTAAATATTGCTAATAAAGAAAAACCTAATACGTAGTTTAATTTGCCAACTTTCAGCTCTTACCAACTCCAGCACAAAGCCGAGTGTAGTGTTTACCGAATGTAGCTTTGAGGACTCTACTCTTCCAGCTAAAAAGCCGAGTTAGCAAGAGAGAAGTCTCCTTTTTCAAAAATACCGCCCTGCCATGATACCGGAGTACGTACCACGCAGAAAAAACTATATGACGTAATGTGATTGTTTTACTTCCTCCCACTCAATTCTCAAACCGGGCCGGGTACCGATGTCTGTCAAATGTCATGTCCTGGAGGTTATGTTAGTGATGATTGTAAATAATAGACATCCGTACGGTATAAAGTTATTCTTAATATGAATTTAAGTAATCTTACAGTAATTAAAACAAATCATAGCTATAGGATAATTTAAATAAAAGAATGGTCTAGTAAATGATAATTTAATTACGGCCTTTGATGAAAGTATCGGCAGACGTTAAAATATCGAAACGGTAAGTGTACGTATTGTAGGTTATCTCAACTTATTCATTAATGAAATTTAACTAACTCTGCTATTAATTAGAGAGGTATTTATTGGAATTTTAATTATTATTACTTTGAAATTGCAAAGCATCAAGAGGATCGGTGTTCATTGCAACTGTACAACAACCTAGGCTATTTGAAATTAAGTCTTTCATTGGTTATTGTTCGAGCCTATTAGAAAGCTTGATAGTAATCTAAGTTTGGTTAATTGAGTAGGCCTATTATATTATTATTACGGCAGTTAACTTTGGTAACGTCGTACACTGATTTAAAGGGTGTTTTTAAAAGGATGTCGGGATTTTAAATTATAATTGTTTGTGTTCTTTTTAAGGTAACTAAGTGTTTTATAAGTCAAATTGAAGCTAAAATAACTAAGTTTTATTTCCCTTGTAGCAAGGGAGGAAACTTTGGACTTGGCATGCGCAAAACAGGTGCGCGGTGGTAGGCCTTTATTGTGACTCATGCGCTTGACGCCAGTCTCCAGTACGACAGTTAAGCTATAGTTCCACAGACTGCGGAACTTCCGCCGTGCGGAAATAAATATATTATTATTCCAGCGTAAGTCTGGATGGGTGGTTCCACTGACAGCGGAAATAACGTTGCGGAGATTCGGTTCTGTCCAAACTAGCGGCGAGCATGGAACACAAATATAATACCATAAATACCAAAATAGTATATTTCATACCTAGGACCGAAAATGAGGTTTAGCCTGCTCGAGAGAGTTTTTAAGTTCGAGACGAAGTCGAGAACTTAAAACGATCGAGAGCTGCAAATTAATTATTTTTAACTGTGGTTGCTTTTATTGTAAAATGATGTTAGACCTAGTTCTTAAAAATCACGTTATTAGTTTTTTATGACGATGGTGATAGTAAACATTAATAAAATATCAATATGAACTTAAATAGTAGTTTTATTGATACAGGAATAAAAAAATACAAGCCTCGAAAAGAATAAGGTTATTGAAATGATGTTAGGAAACTAAATTGAACGGAACCGTTATTGTAACCTTACAATAATTGATGGCTCTTCTCCGCTGGCGGAATCCGCACTGCCACTGCTCTCAAGCAAACCAGACCAGTATGATTTGTCCGCAATGCGGAACCGAAAATTCGGGATGCGGAAACGCACGTCAGTGGAACCGCACACAAGGGAACTCCATTAAACCAGTGTCGTTGTAATTCCGCAGTGGAAAAAATCGCACCGCTTGGCGGAGATTCCGCAGTCTGTGGAACCATAGCTTTTACGGCACAACAGAAGACACAGATTGCAATCTGTGGTTCGCATAGTTTATATATATTGCTAAATTAAACTAAATTTAAATCTACTTGATGATAAAGAAACTTGAAGTTGGTTTAATGAGTTTCGTGGCACCGAAGTGTTTTGAAAAGACATACACCTGGCTAAAAACAAGCGATGATATAGTCGAAGAAATCCGACAATTCTGCATCTGAAGCTCGAAAAAATCGATTGCTCGACGAAGTCTTCAGTTGAACTTTATGATGTTATCTATAAAAGATGGAGTCGTTGTGCCAAAAAATATTGAGTTAAGGCATCAGATAAACCCGCCGATCGCCTTAAAGCGTACAGACTTTGCCAGTTATATGCCAATAAAAGATTAGATTAAATCATTCCGAATAGTATCAAATAATGAGAAAAAAACTTATTCTTTTCCCTCCAATTTGACGTTTAAATAATTTAATTATCTTGAATAGTCCCCGAGCAACGACCGTTTGAAATCCCGGCATTCTTTGAAAAACACCTTAATGTCTTAATCCTTTTGTAAATTTCAATATACATTTCTAAGATAATTGCCAATGCATAGGTGTTTTTGCTAGGGCTTTTGTTATGTTATTCCACTAGGTAAATAAATATACATACCATATCCCATCCTTGTACCAATGAACTCAGTATGGGATTATTATGGTAGTCTATCAACGAAAGCACCAGCAGTATACAATTTAAAATGTCACAGCAAATATAAATGTAAAGGAAAAGTATTGTTAATGGTATGAAACTGTTCATAAAATTCCAATTTTTAAATGCAAATAATAAAATAAATTTAATATTAGTTTATTTAAAACTTTTTTTAATCGCAATTTATGTTTTTTACGAATTTTCAAATTTATTTTCTAAATATTGCATTTTATGGCTAAAGGGTTAATTATATCAAAATATTTTAAATACAAAAGTTGTAGCTCTTTCTTTGGCGAACATTTTGTACATTTAATGTTTTTTTTATAGGATGAATAGTTTTTGAGTTATCGGGGAAAGACTGGTTTTTGGATGCCATTTTCCAAGATGGCGGCCATAGCACAAAATTTTTTTTTCGAGGACTTTTGGTATGTTATTCCGGAAGTAAATGTCAATATACGTACCAAAGTTTTACACTTATTAGAGTTTTTTTAGGTAATGGGGAAATTTTGATTTAAAATGACTACACTATTCCCCAATGTTCCAGGTCTTAGTACAAACATGCACACTTCCATGGTCAAGGTTCGGGCTTCTCTCAACCCATCTATCCTACTAATATTATAAATGAGAAAGTTTGGATGGATGGATGTATGGATGTATGTTTGTGACAAGTGAACGCGAAAAATACTGGTCGGATTGGGCTGAAATTTGGCATGATGATAGCTCACATTCCCGATTAACATATAGGCATATTCTTATTTCAAAAATCCTTTCGGGCTCCGCCCCAGTGGCTCTGGAGTTTCCCATGTTAACCTTATGAGAAATGAAATTATTTGAATCTTAACAGCTGTTTCAATTAAACAAGTTGGTTCTGTTCTGTGATGTTCAATAGCATTAAAGTTACAAAAATTACCAACAGGGTGCAGCACTATTATTTCTTTTACATTTATGACAACAGCTAATTTGCAACCAAAAGGTGAGTGAGCGTAGTGAACGAACTTCAACCTGGAGGCGAGTTAGCGTAGCGAACGAGCTAACCTGAAGGCAAGTGAGCGCAGCGAACGAGCTCCAACCTAAAGGTGAGTGAGCGTAGCGAACGAGCTCCAACCTAAAGGTGAGTGAGCGTAGCGAACAAACTTCAACCAGGACGTGATTGAGCCATGCGAACGAGATAATCTTGAAAATTAAGAAGTCAAACGGGGCAAAGCCCGCGGGTTACAGCTAGTTAAATATAAATTAATACAAAATATATGAACACAACTCTTGATACATGTTTATTTCTTAATAATAAATGTAAACATTGAATTATTTACAATATGAAATTATTCCAGTCATATGATCAATATTAAAGTAAAAGATAGATTTTTGGACTATATAACACCATCCTTGAGAGAGTATGTATTAGAGGGGCAGTAAGAAAGTAAAGACCCACTCAAACATCTCTGTGTCTTGGCAAGCTCTGGTAGGCATAGCTCCTTGTAAATCTGTCCTATGACAGAACAGTTGGCTGGCATTGGTTCCACACATTAAACTGTAACAATTAAAACATAAACTGGCAACCTCTTGTTTGATGACCTCTGTGTCTTAGTTGTCTTTTTTAGATGGTGGATTGACTTGACTTTATTTTTCAAATATACAGGGTGTTGCTAAAATCTCTCCCAAAACTATGTGGGCATGTTCCTAAGGCCAAAACAAACAAAAATACCATATAAACATATGTCCTATCTCGCTTTGTTTTCCGTGTATCAGTGTATGTATTTTTATATAACTTCCAATAACTTTAGAACCACTTGAGGTACCAACTCCAAAGTTGGCAATTGTATGATGAATAATAAGATCCATTTTATGGCATAGTATTAAAAAATTACTATGTACCATTTCAAAATGGCGGTCATGTTTTTTTTTCTTACCTTAATAACTCAAAACAATAGGACCAATAGGAACAATAGGTGGTGTCGTCCTGTAATCCAGCTACTAGGAGGTCACAAATTGTCTATGTTTATGGAGATGCACTGTGGATGCTATACTCCCTGGTGTAGATTAACGTCCGCACTAGTGAGTACTACGACTATCCGCAGTACTATCCTGATAATTAGACCAATTCATTAATACCAAGGCAAGAATGTGGTTTGGATTCCACTATAAACTGTAGGTCCCTTAGTTGCCATTAGCTGTTTGGGCTATTAATTAACAGCTGTGTCTAAGGAATATGTCGGCCTTAGTCACTTAAAAGACTACAAGATCGCGTCACTCATCCTTCACTCATATTTGGGTTAAAAAACACACACTGTGGCGTCCCCATCTTAAAATAATTGATATAATTGATGATTTATAAAAAATGTACAAGAAAGAAGAAACAAAAAGGGTGGAAAATGAAATTTACTTTACAGAAATGTACAATTTTTATAGGATTGTAACAAATCGTAAATTACAGACAAAGTGTTATTTATATAAAGGTACTACCTACTAATTTTTTGAATTTGCCCAAATTCACGGTTGTTGAAGCTGTAGGTAATTTTAACTTCAGAAACAATTATTTTTCTCCATTATTTGTGTTATTACCCGTTAAAATTGGGTACTTTGGTATTTTACCGACCCCACCTAATAATTATAACCTAACCTAAGGCTGGACTATGTTTTAGGTTTAGGAAGATTTTGTTATTTAAACTAATTAAATTCTTGTGTAAGTCGATTTATCAGTGTGGTCCGTATAATACCAAATTACCTACAATTTTATATTTTTGCAAATTAAATTAAATTTCTTATCATATTTGCAACCTGTAACTTTTTTACAAATCCCGTGGGTTTTTAGTTAAGCATTGAAAAATAAAAATGGCAGCTATTTTGAAATAATACAAAGTAGAAACTTGATTTGTTGAAAAAAAATTGTTCCTATTAGTCATCATACACGTACCAAGTTTAAAGTTGGTACCTCAAGTAGTTCCAAAGTTATGTGAAGCTATTTAAAAAATCATTACACACTGACAGACGGAAAACGAAGCGTGTTTTCATTTCTATGAAATTATTTGTTTGTTTTGACCTAAAGAACCTGCCGGGAGAGAGTTTCAAAACACCCTGTATGTAGTTGTTGTGTAGTTGAATATATGAAGTGTAATTGTAAAACTGAATCAATGCAATTCTAAGTGGTTTAAATACTATATTTTTTTCCCGGTAAGACACTTGCCGATCGCCTTACCTTGAATTGTCTATTGTGCAATATCTCTGAATTTTCTTTTGCTGGAAATGATGTTTTTTTATAGTCAGATTTTTTCAGTAACGTTGATTAACAAAGTGCATCTTGAATTCAACATTTACACGTGTTTCATTTGAACCTTTTTGTTTACAGAATATGGTTTGTTTAGAGAGCGTCATTCACAGTGGCTACAAAACAACAAAGACAAAGAAAAATGGAAACACCTATGTCAAAGTATTCTAAATGCCCTTGATGAGCTCTCAGAAATAAATGAACATGTCGCTGATTTGTATATAAACATTATGAAACAACAAGAATCCTTGTGTGTGCCAATTCGTAAGTTGCTTAGTTTTTCCTTCTGCTGTTTTTTCATCTCTATGTTTTATTGCATACTAACAACCCCCACACAATTAAAAACCTATAAAGTAATCGTTTTTAGACAGAATAAAAACTCAAAATTAAATCTATGTTATTACTGTATTACAATTTTAAGAGTTAAAGGAAATATTGATTACAATGAATACAGTATCCAAGCTACAAATAAATGTAATACGTCCATTCAATATTACTAACTTACTTACTTACTTACTTACTGATGGGGCGTCACAAATCTCAGTAGAGTTTTTGCCTCGTAGATTAGCCTCAAACACTCTTCTCATCCGGATTCAATAATATTAGAAATAAGTACCGGGAAACCGGCTCGGCTATGGCTCGGTTTATAGTTTATTTTGATTGTAAAAAGCAATGTAAAGGAAACTTGCGTCTTTTACAACTAATTTTGGTTTTACTGAATTTCCCTGTAGGGAAGTAGTTATTACTGTAGGTGGCACAACGTACGGTAAGACCTAGGCCCGAGACCGATTTATTTTTTCTTTGTCATGTCCCCAGAGGCTAAAAACGCCATTCATTCACATTTTTATATATGTATATATATATATATATATCTAGAGGTCTGCGGTGCACCGAAAGAGTCGGTACGGTACAAGCTTAATTACCGTCATCGGTACAGCATTTCATGCGGTACAGCCTATTATAATAATAAATTACTTATCATTTACTATCTTAGTTGGTTCTGAGCACATAAAAGTCTTATAAATGGTTTGTTTACGATCTTCATAATTTATTACTAGGGTGATGATGCAATAAAAAACCCATTAGCAGTCCCAAATCCATTAACATTTTATCACGACAATAATTGTTGTATTCAAGTACTTCAAAGAACTGTTGAGTTTTATCACTTTTAATTCCTTTACGACTTTCCCCAAATCTATTTTATCATAAAAATAATAGTTTTATGATGACTGTAAGTTTTATCTTTAATTCAGTCAGTATTTTCGTGAATATTCAATTTGCCGCTGGCCATTGCCTACTGCCATAAAACTGTTTATGGCTTTATATTAAACTTGTAACTAATCTACAATATTATTTTATAAGTTAAGATATTTGGTATGGATATTTTATCTTTCTATTCATGAAACCACAAGGTAGTAGTTGTTGTTTGCATAATGTTTTTCCCTTTATGCAAGCCTACTCGGTCTTAAATTATGTCATTGCATGTTCTGTATCTTGTCTTATATTGTTGGATGTGGCCGTTAAGGTTTGAATGTTTTTTGTTTCCTATATTTTTTTATTGTGTTGAAGGTACTTTATGCAATCTAAATCTTATGAACTAGAATTATGATAGTGATTTTGCTACCCTCATTGAAGCCTGCTCAATTTATATAGGCCATCCTAAATAATTAGGTCTAGGCCTGGGTCTTCTGACTCTTTGGAAGAGCTTTAAAATATACTAAGAAAATTGAATAAACTAATGATTGATATGTGTGGATGTTAACTTTGTAAATGAAAAGACAATAATATTACTCTATGGTAATCCAAATTTTAGTTTCAGAAAAAAACTTTGCAAGAGATGTATCCATCTTATAATTTTAGTTTTCAAGCTGATAAAAAAGATGCTCTTTGCCATTACTTCATCATAACATCCTGTTTTTCATTGTCATCTATTGAATGTGAACAGCTGGCAACTACACTGTATTCGTACTGAATGCTTTTATGTGTTTTAAAAGTTTTAAAAACAACTAGACATTGTGTTGGTTGGAAATAATTTACCAGCTGTGTGAAATTATCTTGTCAGTTAATGCTTCGAACATGTTTATTCCTCAACATTCTTATCCTGATTTTAAAACCACTTTATCATGGCTATTCAAAGTATCTCTGAGTAAAATAGGTTAAACCATTGACTTTATATCTACACGTTAAACCTTTATCTTAACTGTGATTTTTCTTGACACAATCCTCGTAGGAGTAAAAGGTTTTAATAATATGTGGTACAGTAATTGTTGTTAGTTAAACCATGAATGTAGGATACTATCCATTGTCATAGTAATGTCAATGTATTAAAATATTAAAATTAAAAATAATGGTTTAAATACAGTTCTGAGAAGAAAACTGCAAAAATACGGGCCGCGTACCGTTCCGATTTTGTACCGAGAACCGAGGTCAGGCTTCCCACTGACAGTAAGGTTGGAATATAAAAAATAATTTTATTGTAATTTTAACTGCCGTTAAAACCCAAAGAAATTATTAAATTATGAATTAGAACATGAAAAAGTAAGTGATCTAGGATTTTTTTTATTTTTTGGTCAGGAACGTTCGTCAGCGGCAAAGTTTGAGAGCTTGAGTTGAATCATAACATATATTTTTTCATTTTTTGGAAAAATTAATGATGAATAGTTTTGGAAATAAATCAGGTAGAAGAGAAAGCAAAATTTGGGACCCTCCGACGCTCGGGCGCTGCCTTGCAACTACACGTCTCTCACTACTACCCTACTACGCACACAGCGATTGATGCATTCAATATTCATTCTAATTTATACATTTATCATATAAGCACGGTAACATTTGTATACATACAATTGCTATTCACAATAATTTAATTATTATTTTATGTAATTAATAACTAAATAAATTATGACTAAATCAGTCCTATATTGAACAATACATTGAAGCCTGTTTACAAACTGAATAAGGATATTAAAACAAATTTATTTTTTTTGGTAAGTTTAACTTTGCTCAAACAACTACAAATCATGTATAAATGGCAATAAACCAATTACACATAACAATAATACATAATTTTAAATAATATATTTATTTCATAAAATAGCTATTTTATCCGTGTTACTATTGTTTCGCGTACTTAATGACTATCAACCACAAAATCCAAACCAGAAAGTTGACTAAATCATCATTGTTGCGTAACTGTATGAGCTTAGTTCTATATATTTTAAAACTAGCAGAGTACGTGTCCTTCGTACGGGGTTGTCATATAAGTTTAAAATGCTTATTGCAGTTATACTCAAGCTTTGCGTTTGCAATGGGGGAGGACAAAGTTTGATAACATTTGCTTCTTTAAATTGACGGTATACTAATAGCATTACACATCTACCATAGCCATAATGTTTTACCACTTCACCCAAACAATAAAGAAAAATAAATCATCACGAATTCACAAAAAAACACAAATTATTCATGACATTAAAGACATAAACATAACTGTAAATAATCCTACTTTTACAGATCTCATTGCGTATCACAGTTTTTTGTTGCTGCTTAGTTCAAATTAGCTGTTAACATAAATGAAAAAAAAAATTATAGTGCCGCACCCTGTTGGTAAATCTTATAACTTTTTAATGCTTTTGTATATCATAGAACCAACTTTTTTAGTTGAAACAGCTGACTAAATTCTTTAATTCCCTTTAAATATGAATACTCATAAGGTTAACATGGGGAACTACAGAGCCACTGGGGCGGAGCCCGAAAGGATTTTTGAGATAAGAATATGCCTATATGTTAATCGGGAATGTGAGCTATCATCATGCCAAATTTCAGCCTAATCCGTCCAGTGGTTTATGCGTGATTGAACTTCAAACAAACAAACAAACACACAAACTTTCACATTTATAATATTAGTAAGATAAGATATAACCATTAATAAACTTTCTATGATATCGCAATTCCCCTAAAGCTTGGTCCCATATAGTATTAGTTTATAAAATAAACAACTACGATAATGGTTTTTTTTACATTATTTTGTTATATTTCAAATATAACACATGTACGAATATAAATAAACTGCAAGCTTTTGAATGTTTTTTTTTCTGTACAATACTCAATCTATATCTATTAAAAATCTTGTTAAGATGCCAATGAAACAATTACACATTAAGAAAACCCATTAACCACGGTAAATTGGATATTTTACAAGTATTTTTACAACATAAACACGTTCACATAAATAATTTGGAAAATTAACTACATGCTTGGTTTCCAACACTTGTTAATATTATAAAAATGTTGTTTTGTACCGTTCCTGACTCCAGTTACATGCATCAGTCTATAATGTTGCATAGTAGCAATTCGCAGAGACACGCGGAACTAGGATGACTCATCGCTCTCCCCACCACTTATACGGGCAACGCTGATTTCCAGGTGGCTTCACTACACTCGCCCGATGCCCTCTCTATTTCTATTCTGTGCTCTCTGATTTGGACTCATCCATAAGTAAAATAGTTTTCTGTGTCGGTGTTGCATTCTGTGGAAACAGTGTGGCACTATTTCAAATCATGACTGATACACAATGTTGTGATTATTCGAACCTACAAAACAGTAGGTGAAAGTAAACATCTGCTTTTAAATTATATTTATTTGTAAACATTGTCATTGTAGTTCCAAAAGTCTGTCATTTGACTCCTTAAAACCCTCTGGGGCGCAGCCATTTTGAGGGATCTGTAGCAAACTTCACACAGGGTGTCTACCAACCGGGAAATCCGGGAATCGTACTTAAATTTTTACTGGCCATGAAATGTACGGGAATTGTCCTTAAATGCCAGACTATGTCCTTAAATTTTTAATGGGCCATAATTTTATTGATCGCTAGTTGGTTAGGTGCACATAAAAAGGTTTATCAGATGTTTGTTTACATTTTCATAATTTATTACTAGAGTAATTATGCAATAAAAATCCCATTAACAATCTCAAACCCATTAATATTTTATCACAACAATCAAGTGTCAAGTCGAGTACTTCCAAGAACTGTTGATTTAGCAGCTAGCTCATAAAAGTTGTATCACTTTTATTCCTTTACAACTTCTTTTTTTATTACTAGGGTAATTATTATTAGATCTCAAACCTATTTTATCGTGAAAATAATAGCTTTATAATGGCTGTTAAATTTCACTTCTTACTTGTACTTTCGGCTTGAAGATTCAATTTGCCGCGGGCAGTGCCTAGTGCCATAAAACTGTTTATGGTTTCATATTAAACATGTAAATAATCTACAGTCTTATTTTGTAAGTTAACCCCTTTTTTATGGACATTTTATCTTTCAATTGACAAAACCACAAGCATTGTTGTTTGCATTAATGTTTTATCACTATGTAGGCCTGCTTGGTTTCAAATTATGTCATTGCATTTTCTGTATCTTTGTCTTAATTGTTGGCTATTCAGGTTTCAATGTTTTTTGTTTCCCATATATTTATTTAATGAGTTGTATGCTTTAAGCAATCAAAATCTTATGAACTAGAATGATGATAGTGACTTTGCTGCTATTATAACCTGATTGTTTGTTACTCAGTTTATATAGGCCCTCCTAAATAATTAGGTCTAGGCCTGGGTATTTTGATTCTTGAAAGAGCTGTAAAATATATTAAGAAAATGTAATTGAGCCTAAGATAAACAACTACCTAATGATTGTTATGTGTCGATATTAACTTTGCAAATGAAAATACAATAATCTTACTCTGTGCTTATTGCTTATTAATAGCCGCTTACCATACCTTGATTTTGTACTAAGAATTGAGTAACAATATGCATTAAAGATTTTTTTTTCAAAAGTAGTCGAGAACCTAACGTTGTGCCAGGGCGAATCATGCCAAATTTATCGGCCTGGATCGGATAAGCTATGTTATGAAGTTTACGTGACTGATGGAGATATTTGTCGCTATCGCAGGAGACAATGATTGCGTTTCTCTGTTACACTATAAAAGCTTTACCTAAAGTATAGGTAGGCCTATGTTTGTTTACTTTCAATAAATTTCTATTTTGTAATTTTTTACTCTTCTATTATTATTTACTTTTCTCTCTGGTACAACTACAGTGAATAACAAGATTAATACAGTTTGACAAATCAGGAAAATTATTCGGTAGGCCTAATGACACCGACAAAGGTTACGGCAAAGTGTCCTTAAATGTACGGGAATTGTCCATGAATTTTTTATCCAGAATGTAGTAGACACCCTGTTCACACAAACCATTTTTGAGTAATGCTTAATAATGCCTGAAAGTTGCATTACAATCTGTCAAGTGATTTCAGAGTCCATAGGGTACATACATACATACTTCCTCTTTTAAAGATATAGGTAGATAGATATTGAATATTCTGTCAGGAAAAGTAGAGTTTTTTAGTCCTACACAGGTTGGGAATTCGTAGAAGAGCTTGTCTTCTGCTTTCCCAAGAATCTTGTAAGTAAATTAAATACCCCCGCCGCAGCAAACCTGCAGACTAAGCGAATTTCCATTTGACTGATTGGATTTACACTGAAATGTCTACTTAAAAATATAACATTTATTCTTTATTTAAATAGAATTAGTTTAACAAGTACTTAGGTTTGCTGCATCAGGGAGGGTAAAACTGTTTTTTTTTAAATGTGAATAGTTTCGTAAGAAATAAAAACATTTTCCAAATTTGATCAAAATATGTTCACAAACAAGCAAACTATAACAGTTTACTTATTCTCCATAAGAATAACATGGGAATTTTAAATTTACAATTTTTTGGAATTTTCTCCGTAACAATTAGGCGCATAATAACGCTTCAATATACTAAGTTATTTGTTTTTTTTTAAGCTCTACAAAATGGTTTGGAAAGAAATTGCTAAATTTTATGTTTTTTGGGTCAAAAATGGGAAAAACCTATTTTTACCCCATAAAACCCCCCGTAAACCCCCGTTCCCATGGTCCGATCATGCTGGATCGCGAACTCCTTCGAATAAACGTACGTTTACACGTTTGTACCAAATTTCATCAAAATCGGATCATTTTTGCTCGAGTTATCGTGCTGACGGACACATATATATATAAATATATAAATATACTAGCTGACCCGGCGAACTTCGTATCGCCTAAGTTATAGGTTTCCCCTAAGACGGACCGATGGAAAGAAAGTACCGTTACGTTTAATTTTCAAGATGATCTCGTTCGCTACGCTCACTCACCTTTGGGTTGGAGCTCGTTCGCTACGCTCACTCACCTTTTGGTTGCAAATTAGCTGTTGTCATAAATGTAAAAAAAATAATAGTGCTGCACCCTGTTGGTAATGCTTGTAACTTTAATGCTATTGAACATCATAGAACAGAACCAACTTGTTTAATTGAAACAGCTGTTAAGATTCATTAATTCCATTTCTCATAAGGTTAACATGGGAAACTCCAGAGCCACTGGGGCGGAGCCCTTTTAAGAATTTCGAAACGGGAAATAGTTTACGTCCGATTCGCATACCTACAGAATTTACACACCAAATTTCATAACGATCGGTGAAGTCGTTCCGGAGGAGTTTGCAGACAAACACTGTGACACGAGAATTTTATATATTAGATAAATATATAAATATATATATATATGAATTTGAACGGATGGTGTTTTTGACCTCTAGGGACCTCAAAACGAAAAAAAAAATCGGTCCCGCGTCCAGGTCTTACCATGAGTATTACGGTAATAGCTTATTCCCTATATGGGAAATTTGCTAAAAGCATCTGTGACCTTATAAATTGTAACTCAACAAATAATTGCTGTATGTGTTCTTACAATTCAGTTATTACTCCCCTACGATTGGGACAAAATTCCTTCTGCCATTGTGACGAAATCGTGTACATCTTCCACGTTCACGCATGAATCATCATCATTATCCCCGATTTTGACCAAATCATTGACATTTTCTGGTATTAGGTCAATTCTTAGACGATGGTGAATATTCCACACTGGAAAACTTAGTACAGTAGACTCCCTCTCATCCGGACGATTTTTATCAGCATATAGGTTTAACCGGACTAGATCGGCAGGAAGTGGGCGGCACTGAAACGACTGTTCTCAAGGGAAAGATTTGAGATCAGTGATCACGTGTCTAAATACAACGCTCTCCTAAATTTAAATCAAATACTGTACAGTATGCATTAAAACGGTCTGTTTTAACTAGTTTTTGGGGACGTCGGTTTAACCGAAAAAAACGTAATCCGGACTGGCCTTGGTCCAGAGGAGTCAGATAAGAGAGAGTCTACTGTACCCCATTATTGATTGTAATAATAGAGTGGAAAAACTTTCCAGGACAGATGAATATTTTTAATATTAATAAAGATAACACAACAATTCCTGGAACTAAGCTGGACATAAAAAACTATTTGCCAAATTACTATTAATATTATATACTTTTTTTAGTAATATACATTAAAATGATATCTTATTACGGTTGTATTTTTTTTCTTTTTAGGGATTCTAGATGTACTGGAGAAATTCTTTGAAAATGCAGCAATTGAATTGGATTGTACGATTATTTGCAATCTTATAACTAAAGTAGTTATGGCCATTTCACAAGCTAATCTAGTGAAGGAACTACAACTTGGAATAGATTATTATAGAATTCTCGTCGTAGCTATGTGTAGATCAAATGTGCCTCTATTGGAAGTTGGTCCAATATGTGCTAGGATCATGAAGAGGTCTCAAACTCTATCCCGTTTTTATCCTCAGAATTGGGTAAGTATTTCCATGCAATTATTGTTACTCTTAAATTTCAGTCACATAAAAAAATCTTGTTGAGGTGATTAGCTGGATGTTTAGCATCAGATAACATACACACTTGTCTAAATCTTTCACAATTGAAAACAAGATTTTATATATTGGCATTGCTGATCATGCTTGAGAGCCAAACCCCAACTGCAGCTTTGGCAAAAAGCTTTAACTTGGAATCGATTAGCCAAAGAAATAGGTTATCCGAAATGGCCTCGCCCTCTTCATTAAGTTAGTTTAGGTTTTATTGTTTTATATAATTGTTTATAAAATTCTGCATCAAGGTTATTGTATCACTTTTCAACAAGATTAATGTTGATTTTGAGGGACATGTTGTAATACCCAATACTGCACACAACACCTTTCACACTAGCTACACTTTTTTTGAAAGAGAACCAAAGCAAAACACTTTAATATAATCAATTTTGACATGGAAAAATAATAAAACATTTGTTATTTAAATTAATAAATAACTGGTACTCCAGCCCCATCTTCAAACTCTCTAAAGGTCCTCCACTTCTTCCTTGTCCTCCTTAGACACATGCTGCTGGCCCTTAACATCGCACAGATGGTTTTTACCCTTATCCAGTTCATCACTAAACTGTAAGGTTTATTCCATTTTTCTGTTAGGCGTTCTGCCATTGCTCTGAGCAAGGTCTGAAACTCTTTGCCCGGCATTCCGTCCACAGACGTGACTAGTGGGGTAAATGATGCATTTCTGGTTTCTGTTATTGTTAAATATTTCCTCTTCTTCTCTCTTTCTGCATTCTCCAACACTTTTTCGTATGGGATGCTACACTGTTTTGTTTAGCTATGTTGCCGCCCAGCACGCCCCACAGTTGTGCCCATCAGTCGATACATCACACACAAGCATCGTTATCATTTTTCAGCTTCTAATATGCTGTGCACATTTTATCTTGCTGAGTTGTGTTTGAAAAAATCTGTAAATTATACTTTATTTATTTATAATTAAAGATTGGTTTTTACTGTTTAGAAAAACAATATGTATTTTGTATACCAAAAACACAACTTAAAATTGTTTGTGACTCGCAACAGTAGCTCGGTTAGTCAGGGCTCCACTGTACTCAAGAAAGAGAGATCTAAGTAACGAGGTACTAATGAGGTTACCGTGCATCACGTCACTTATAGTTGTAGGATCGTTGTAGAAGTCATTGATAATATTGCCAATTGGATTTATTATTGTATATATTGATATGTGTTGTTTTCCTTTGGTAACACTTGATTTGATTATTTTTATAAATTTATAATTCTTTGAATATTGTCATAATATGTTACCGTGTAACTTGGTAAATAAATGTTATGCTTTTTGTTTCAGAATAAAGATTGTGACAAGGTTACTGTAAACTGTTGTTTTACAGTTGAGGAACTTCAAGCATACATTCTTTTTAAGCTTCTAACATTCAAGAAAACTTTTGAGACGAAATCCCTATACTTTTCAATTGAGGTAATATTTATATATATAACATATATATAAGGGGTTAAGCTTTCAATTTTCATGTAGATATTCTTACTTGTTCTTGTAATAAAATGTGTATAAAACTATTTTACTTTGTCATATGACTTTAAAGAACTTAACTTTGACTTACTGGAATTCAAGATATATATTACAGACAGACAGACCGACAAACAGACATAGCTCATATTTGAGTATAGGATTTACGAAAGTAAATAAAAGAAACGTCATATAACACTTAAAACATATATTTACGCTTATACTGTTACTCACAAGACGGTAAATATACAAAAAAGATGGTAAGTGGTGATCGATTTCGATTGGACACTCCAATCATCATCAGACCCAATAGGCGAATGAATAAAAGCTATCAAGAATGATCAAGAAGTTATTTATAGGATTTACTACTATTAAAACACCAATACAAATTAAAAAAAAACTAAACTTTACTTTCCAATGATAATTAAATCAATGTAAAAATTACTGGCGCGGGGGCCAATCCGCACCCTTGGGTAGTTCCACCCACATGGAAACGCGATAATATGACAAAAAATTGTTTGGCAGGAGTGGGATGTATGGAGCTTGAACGTACTAGGGTGCACAGCACTGCTGCTAACTCATTTCAGCTACCAGAACAAAATTTACCACTTCGGGGGTTTAAGAACACCCTGCGCCACTGGTTAAGGGTTAAATGACTATGGTATTTCATAACTTTATTGTGGAATATATTATCTATTTAATATTTATATTATACAGTTCCATTGATAAATTTTGTCTGAAAAGAAGAAATACAGTATAATCAACTAAGTTATTTCCATTCAAATGTTCTAAATAAATTCAGTAAAAAAAGGAATAGTTTTTAACAAAGGCAATAACTACACTGTCAAAATTCATGTTTTCGGCCCCTGGACTATATTGTTATGACAATAATAGGTTTTAGCGAATTTCCCATATAGGGAATAAGCTATTACCGTAGTACTCATGGTAAGACCTGGACCCGGGACCTATTTATTTTTTCGTTTTGAGGTCCCTAGAGGCCAAAAACACCATCCGTTCAAATTCATATATATATGTATATATATATACATATAAATATGTATATAAATATATATGTATATATATTTATATATATGTGTCCGTCAGCACGATATAACTCGAGCAAAAATAGTCTGATTTTGATGAAATTTGGTACAAACGTGTAAACCTACATTTATTCGAACGAGTTCGCGAACCAGCATGATCGGACTATGGGAACGGGGGTTTATGGGGGGTTTTATGGGGTAAAAATAGGTTTTTCCCATTTTTGACCCTAAAAACACAAAATTTTACAATTTATTTCCAAACCATTTTGTAGAGCTTAAAAAAACAAATAATTTACTATATTGAAGCGTTATTGTGTGCCTAATGGTTACAGAGAAAATTCCAAAAAATTGTAAATTTAAAATCCCTATGTTATTCTTATGGAGAATAAGTCAACTGTTGTAGTTTACTTGTTTATGAACATATTTTGATCGAATTTGGAAAATACATTAGTTTCTTACTAAACTATTAACATACAAAACCACCTTTTTACCCTCCCTGTTGCAGCAAACCTAAGTACTCGTTAAACTAATTCTATTTAAATAGGGAATAAATATGATATTTTTAAGGAGGCATTTTAATGTGAAATCCTATCAGGCTAATGGAAATTCGCTTAGTCTGCAGGTTTGCTGCGGCGGGGGTATTTTACATACCTCTGTCAAATAGTCAAAATGAATTATATTGCTCATCAGCTTACATGTTTCATTGCGAAGACAACATTTTCAAAGCTTGCAACTCGTCAAAAACACATTTAAAACACTTAAATGTGTTTTTGACGAGTTGCAAGCTTTGAAAATGTTGTCTTTGCAAAGAAACATATAAGCTGATGAGCAATATCATTCGTTTTGACTATTTGACGGAGGTATGTAAAAAACCTATTATTCAACTACTAGGTAGGCTACCCATCCAAGTATCTCAACTTCAGGTTGAGGATGCGACATGCCCTTGAACCTAGAAACTAACAACTGAAACTGTTTGACACCACTTCGACTTGCACAGAATTTAATAATATGGCTATTGTACGGTTAGCTGGTGTAGGGCTTATGCCCACAAACGCACAAATTAAATCAGTACAAGGGTTGGTTGACGACAACTATGAGGTTGTCACACTTACTGACACTGCTCAGTCCACAGATAGGTCCTGGCCTCAAAAAAGAGCTCACCTTATTCAATTTATTGAGCTCCAGCTGAATTTGAACCCTTCCTTTCAAAGATTTTTTTCTCTAGGCCTACAAATAGACCAAATACCAGCTTCTTACTGTGTAGTGTGGTGCTAACATAATCATGCCATGTTTATGTATTTGTTGTCTATTTTGCCTTTAACTTTCTCTTATAATTTTTAGGAACCCGAGGTAAAGGAAGAATTTAAGCACCCTTACCTCCAAAACGTTGAATGCTCTGTCAGGGCTGCGATACAGAGATTTAAGAAGGCTTGTCAAACCATTGATGAGGGATTTAAGCCTTCGTGCTTGATTATCAAGGACAGTTTGATAATAATGGACAAGGTGGTCGGGAATGAACTGCTCAAGACAGCCCCTAGTGGTAATAATTGACTGATTAATTGTTAAGAAACCAAATGTCCAAATCATGCCTTTTAAAGAGTATACAAGTATATGTTAAGGTTTACCGTTCTCATATTATTACTCTTAACAACTTATAACTTTCAAATAAAGTTCCTTGCTCTGTAATCTTTTCTGTAATTGTTTCAGTTTGAGCCATCACTTGTTAACATCACAAGTTACTTATGTTTACATGTAAATTGTTGTCATATTTTGATGATAAGTATTTTTATGTGTGAATTGTATACACTATGAATTGTACATTTGTAAAGCTACTATTGCTGTAATTATAGTATGTAAGCAAGGTAATTGTTTTGTTTATTTTATGACATAAAATAAATTAATAAAGCACATGTCTTTAGTGCATTATTGATTCCAACCAAATATTTATTTAGAAGCTGTTGAATTATTTATAAGGATATTATATTTGCCAAAATGTTTTCCAGTGAAACTTCATTTCCACAAGAATTTGTAAACATATGTTTTGTAGAATTTTTTAAGCACGTCCCACAGAGATGTAAGATACATGGGATAGAAGCTTATGGGACAACCATGCACCTCTGGTATTTTGGGACCTACTTGTACGAAGTAGGGAAGATTCCGAACAGAGATAGCCACATAACATTGTTGTAGCGCACAGGGTCATCCTAAAGTGAGAGAGCTGTAGTATGTGACGGCGTGTGGGGAATGAAGAGCAAGAGGACGATGAATAGAATTTGCTGTAGGTACCACTTAAGTGTACCATTGAATGTATCTTCTGTTTTTTTTTTTACTTCCATGTGCTCGTCCACACAAAAATGATTAAAGGTCGATTCACACACATCAGTCCAGTCACAGTTCCGTTACAGTCCAGTTGCAGTCCAGTTACAGTCCAGTCACAGTTGCATCCGCAATTTCTCAGTCAATTGTCTGTCAGTTGGTTTCAGTCAGTCTTCCGTCTCTAAAATTCACAGTAATTTATAGTCAAAATTTTAAAGTTATAAACCTATATTCTATCAAATTATCATTGTCCATCTTGTTGATTGTTACAAACAGTACTCAAAGTACAAACGCAACCATTTAAATAACAATAACACTATTTTCTAACCTCAAACAGTTCCGTCAGGCGTCCGAACAATCAAAAAGTATCGTTGGAAAGAAATCTGAAATTGACTGACGGATGCCAGCAGAGTGACTGACGGGACTGCAACGGATGAGTGTAGATAGCGCAATAGAAAATCCATCAAAGAATATTTTTGTTAACTGTGACGTGCCTGAAGTGACTTTACTGTGACGTGCCGTAACTGATGTGTGTGAATCGACCTTAAGACTTGTGTCAAACAGTTTTTGTTCCGGTATAAACATGTCTTTGGGTCTGGGTAAGGATATAAAATGGTAGGTTTGTATACATTTGGTCCAGTTGCTGTATTTATTTATTTTAATCAGGTATAATTAATATTCTATTAGGCCTAACAATAATCAATCAAACTCTGGAATATCACTGAAGGAATAACCAGGATATTTCTTATAGGCACAAAAAGCAATATGCATATGATAAGCTCCTGGAGGAAACATCAATAATCCTATGATGAAAAGAGGCCACATTCTGTCTGCATACTGAAACAATAAATAATTCTGAATTACCAATACATTCAACACCCCTGCCACACAAAATCAGAGACTGAGAAAAACAAACAAGTCCTTAACTCTACAGATTCAATAATTTATGAGAAAGTAGCCTACAACCAGCTTTTAATTTTCCTTCAATCAAACCTATTGTTGGCTCCAGACCAACATGGCTTCTGACGGAGAAAATCTACAATTACTGCTGATACTGTTTTTTTTTTATTAATAAATAATTGACAGGAATGAAAAGGTAATACAGTAGACTCCCTGTTATCCAGACTCCTCGGGACCAAGGCCAGTCTGGATAACGGGTTTTCCGGTTAAACCGATGACTGACGTCCCCAAAAACTCATAAAAACGGACAGTTTAAATGCATACTGTGTACAGTATTTGACTTATATTTAGGAGAGCATTGAATTTAGACATGTGATCACTGGTCTCCTTTCCCTCGAGAACAGTCATTTCAGTACCGCCCACTTCCTGCGATCTAGTCCGGTTAAACCGATGTGCTAATAAAAATTGTCCGGTTAAAGAGATTTTATTTCTGCCGAGTGTAGTCTGGTTAAACCGATGTCCGGATAAGAGGGAGTCTACTGTAGGATTTGTTCTTAATTTTTCAAATGCGCTTAGCTTTGTTTCAAATAAGAAATTGCTAGAAATTATTCATAGTTTAAATAATGAAGAGTTTAAGATGGTTCCATTCGTCCTTATAAGGCAAGAATGCAACCAAATACAACATAGTTACAATACACATACACATACACATACAGATACAAATAGTTAATACTCTTAACACTCAACATTTTTACTCTGAATTCATTTATTTTAACAATCAAGATTTAAAATTAAACTGTAGAAAATTCAGTTAAGAATATAATGACTGGGACGGTGGCTTCGTCCTGTAATCCAGCTACAGTACTAGGAGGTCACGAATTGTGGATATTAATAGGCATGCACTGTGGATGTCATACTCCCTGGTGTGGATTAACGTCCTTACTATGAGTACTTCCGACTGTCCGCAGTACTATCCTGATAATTAGACCAAGACCAATTCGTTAAATACCAAGGCAAAAATGTGGTTCCGTTTCCACTATAAACTGTAGGTACCTTAGTTACCATTAGCTGTATGGGCTATTAAAATTAACAGCTGTGTCTAAGGAATATATCGGCCTTAGTCACTAACAAGACTACCACTCATCGCGCCACTCATCCTACACTCATCTCCATTCATACTTGGCTTAAAATACCTATGGTTGCAATTACAATGAAAACTATTAAAACTATGAGTAAGGACTATATGGAATGCATAAACTAACTTACCAGGTGATGATGGTTCAGAAAACAAGTAGGAAGGAATTGATTATCAAATCGTGCAGAATGTTGTCTCAGTATGAAGAATTTAATACTTCTTTTGGAAAAAAATTATCATTATGCCATGCCTACATCGTACTTTTATGTATAAATAATTGTTTTTATAATAGGGGGGTTTATTCGGCCAAATCGTTATCTGGCCAGGGGCTCGATCCCATAGTGGCTGAATATGAGAGGTTTTACTCATATTTTGATCAAAACTTTCTTTGCAATTACATCAGTAGGCCTAGTTTTAAAATCAACTTGCTAAAAGTTTAGCACACTTTACACGTTTGATAAAAGTGTGTTACATATAGGCCATGTGTTTATTAATTTTTTCTCAGAGGCATTATTCTTCTATTGGTTTTGTTTGCAGATGTAAGGTCATGTTAAATAGGATAAGAAGTGTCAAATTCGTATATATTATTAAGTGTATACGATAGGCTTTGTGTAAATAAATTAGAAGCTTACCTTTTCATCTATATGACCAGAAACAATTAAAGAGCCAGTAATAAGCAAACAAGTGCCAACTACACACAGGAGGAATGCCAGGAATAGAGCTTTCCATGGTATTGGTTTGAATGAATACTGGAACATGAAACAACAAAATTAAACAAATCCTTTAATTAAATTTCACTTTAGAGCCTTACTAGCAGAGTACCTGTCCTTCCTACGGGGTTGGCATGTGAGTATAAAAAGCTTACTGCAGTTATACTAAAGCTTCGGGTTTGCAATGGGAGAGGACACAGTTTGGTAAAATTTAGTTCTTTAAATTTATGGTATGCCATAAATTTAGCAGCTGAGGCTGCCTTTAACCCTTGCATTTATTGTCATGCAAAAAAACGTGTTTTTTTGTTTTGTGTTCATACTGAGTAAACTAAATTACTTGTTGTACTTTAGGGCTTGATTCTTATTCAGAATAAAATTGTACACAAGTAAAACATGATATCAAACATAACCGTAAAATATTTTTTGTATGGCCATAATATAAAAATACCCCCGGCCGCAGTAAACCTGCTGACTAAGCGAATTTCCTTTTGTCTGAATGATTTTCAATTAAATCTATTTAAATAACATTAGGTTTAACGAGTAGGCTACTTAGATTTGCTGCCACAAAACAACTGAAAATAGTAAAAGTGTCTTTTAGTAAAATGTTAATAGCTTAGGATTAAATAAATAAATTTGCCAAGTTTGATCAAAATATATCCATAAACAAGCAAAATACAACATTTTCAATATTCTACATAAGAATAACATGGGGATTTAAAATTTAAAATTTTTTTAATTTTCTCCCTTACCAATAACCTTACAAAAACACTTTGATAAACTAAATTATTGGTTTTTTTAAGCTCTGGGACACCATTATCAACAACCCCAGCCACAGCAAAATCGTGAACATCTCCCGCGGACCGTAATCACGGGAACATTGACACCTGCGGCTGCGGCAAAGTCATAAACATCTTCCACGGTCCGCAATCACAAGGACATCATTATCGATACCCGCTGCCCATGGAAAATCAGGAACATATCCCTCCGGCCGAAATCATCGGGTCGCAGCAAACTGATGGCCAAAAAATTAAAATTTGTTTGTACTGAAAAAATATGTTTGTCAATCCTCTGCAGCCTCCTTTTGTTAAATGGTAAATCCGGCACTGTGTGTAGGCTACTGAATAATATTAGACTAATAATTATACATTTATTATGTATTATGTACAAATTTTACGGATAAACAGTGAACAATAGTGGAAAATTACAAGTCTGGCTTTTAAAAACCCTTTAGCCTAAATGTTAGATCGGTTCTTGTGACACAACAAAACTGCTCCTGCAACCCACCAGTGGGTCGATTAGTAGTTTTGGAACTGCTGATATAGGCTTTTATATTTTTCTCTACACCATTGGCATTTTTTTGTAAACGGGACTGTCAAAGACCTGGATGTCCTGTTACTAATGGACCTAGCCTATCTGATGTCGATCTTTTGTTAAATCCTCTATATGAGTTAAGTTTGAATACTTGTCACTTTGATCTCGGAATCGGCATCGTGGAACACCTAATACTAATACTGACGGTGTAACTAAGTTCTGCTTCAAAAATAAATTCTAGACCCAGTGATATATCCAAGAAAATCTACTTATTATTGCCATAAATATGCATACTAACTTTGGAAAATTTTACATGGGCCTTATGGAATGCCATTACGGTTATTTCTTGATTGTAAATAAAATATTTGTAACATATGTTTACGCAGAGCAAGAAAAGAACAATTAGATTAGGCCTAGGCTACCAGTGTCAAGTAATGAAACTATAGTGAGACAATAAAACAGAATACTCTAACTCTAACCATAGATTAAACATACTCCCTAAGGGAGTATGTTTAATCTATGCTCTAACCTAACTCATACCGGTTTAGATTTAACAAACAGCAGATTTGAGCTAATTTATTTTTAATAAACTATTATTTCATGTGGAATTTCACAACATTCAATAATTAATTGTAGGCTAATGCATCTTCTGATCTAATATAGGTTAGGCAATAAATGATCACAACACTCATCACACTGGCGCTCCTCAATCAATGTGATTTACACTTAACGACTTAACGCAATATTTTCATTGTTGCAGTGAACACCTAAACGGGCAAGAGTAGGGGGAGGTAGCTTCGTCAACAGCAAAGCATTGTTGTAGTCTATCGCAAAACTGGGAAAAAGTTGTGGGTACTTTGGTATTACACACAGTCCCCCCTTATACAGCATGATGCGGCGGTTATGTTAGGTTAAAAATATAATACCAAAGACTGCCCTCAGAGTAGGCTAACTTAGGTATACCGTACTAATCATTTTAACATTTTAACTGAGCAAAGCTCTGTCTCAAGGGTGCTAGCACAATTAATTGATAACCAAAGGATAACTGTTTACAGTATCTGAGTACAGAAACAATCTCATTTAGAACTATACCAGAGCCTAACCTTAAAATTTTTAGGCGAGCACTAGAGGGTAAATAAGAGCATTAGGGGGAGTTGTATGGGTAACCTTTAAGCCGTTTACGCTATGCAACAAATTGTACAACAAAAAATCGTGTTTAAAACAAGTAGTAGCGTTCCTGGCCCGTGTCGGAAAGATCAAATGAAATTTATGTTTTATAAACATTAGTTGTACAAATAAGAGAAATACATGTTGTCCACAAGAAACGTCCAACTTCTTTACCTAACATCGGTCCCACTATATGGGCTCTTAGTCTAGATCAGTCCGCTTCATAGGCCTAGAGTAGCCAAGACAACATGTGACAAAGGTTATGTTAGCAGCAACAAAATAAAAAATACAGCAAACTTTTATAGGCGTCGCCAGTAGCTAATGAAGTAGGGTTTCAGCAAGTCTTTCTTTGACTAGAATTGCATCCCTGAACGAGGTGTTTTCTTCTCAATTCTTTCTCCTAACTTATATCAGCAAAATCAAGTAGGACCAACTTGCTTTAAGTCTGCACTTGTCATTTGTAAAAAGTTTATGACTACCATCAGTCCTTTAATCCCAAGCCAACAGATCTTCATCATCATCTCTTTCAAAATCTTTTAACATTTCACTGCCACTGTACTTAATCACAGCCTGCGGTCAAGGACGTAAAACCAAAAGCGACGCTTTGCTCTTTTCCTTTTACCGCAGGCAATCACAAACAGCAGCCACCAACGGGTACACTTCCATATCTGTTGGCACAAACAACCGAATGAGTAATATTGATTATTCGATTGTTTAATTTGATATATTGTTTGGTTAGTTAGGTTAGGTTAACCTTACCTAACTAACCAAACGTATCGAATAATCAATATATCGATCGATATTTCCATTCAGTTGTTAGTGCCAACAGATATGGAAGTGTACCCCCACCAACAACAGATCCTAGTCACTTGAAGCATTCATGGTGACAGAAGGTTTTTGAGCAAGCTCTTTTTAAACATGTGTGATAGGCCTAATTCTTGTTGGTGCATAAGTTACAACTTGTACCTACAACACATGTTGCATACCGGTAGCAGCCTTAGCTACCAAGACAATTAATTTACTATTTTCAGTTTTATTTACAATCAGTCTTTGGAAAGGAATTTTCTGTCAGCCGATTAACATTTTTATTAATCGGGCCTTAGGTAAATAAATTTATAGGTAGAGGATACAGAAACAAACCTGCGTTTCTACATAACTCGAATCACTGAATTTACTCTTTTTTAAACTGTGATACTGTACACCAACGTAATCCTTTGATTTTCTTTGAAACATCCCAATTATTAATTGGCAACTTAGCTCGTTATTTATATTGATAAAATGCTACTCTTAGCGCAGAATCACAAAAAGTCTTCAGCTTCATCGCATGACTTTCGACCGACTGTATTTTGTAAATGTAAACAAAACAAACTAAACTGCAAACACTAAACAGTAAAGTTAGTTAAGAAAATGTCGTCTGCAAAACTTTGACAACCGACTCCAATCCAATCCCAATGACTCCATTGGATTATCAAGAAAAAAGTATCGGTTCGATCCATGGTTCGATCGCTAACCAGACCTAAACCTTTGATTATGTAGTACAGTATCTACTGTCAATGCTTAAGCTAACCGGAGGAATACTGACTGAAACAATTTAATTGGAATTTAAGATTAAAGAGTAATATTTGGTAATATTGACAAGCACTCACCACATGAGAATCGTACTAAAACTAATAAACGGTATCAGCATTCTGACACATACTTTCTCCCATAAGTTTGTCAACAGCCTTTATCAAGTGTAAGCGGTGAGAGTAAATATATGGAGATGGGATTTGTACAATTTTGTTCAGAAATTAAAGGACTATAACATTCTAAATTTTTATCAAAATCTTTCGGGCCATTTTTGGGAAAATCCGATTTTTCCGTTATATAATGGGGTTTTATGGAAAAATAACATAATTTACAATAACTTTTGAACCGTAATTTTTACAGAAATGGACCATTTTTGAGAAAATTCGATTTTTCCGGTTTTAGGGGTTTTTATGGGAAAATCCCCATTAAAAATCAAAATTTTAAAAAAAAATTAAAAAAAAACACCTGGAGATACCATGGATTAGAACCTACATACCAAATTTCATCGAAATCGGAACACAGGTGTAGTCCCTAGCTCTGTATACATCCAGACACAGACACACACACACACGCACGCACACACACACAGACATCACTTCGAAAACCACTGTTTTGGGTCCAGGTTCATAAAGAAATACTTTTGGCCTGATGAAGACTAGGAGACACTAATTGGTTGTTAAAACCTGTAGCCTACTTAGGACTACAAAATAACATGAATCATCGTGACAGTAATAAAGGCTGGTAATGTGAAATTTGAAGACTTAAATTATTGACTTTTCAATTTTGACTACATACTTAGTGTTATAAAAATAGGTCCCGTCATTATTATTTATAACTAGCTGTGTGCCCGTTCTACGCACGGGGATCTTATAGTAGTCAGTTGAATGTGACAAAAATCACACAATGTTGGGTTTTTGGACATTTGTAATTTTATTTCTTAAGTAGGTAGGCCATGTATTTGGAAAAGTACCTGTATCAAGGATCGTCGTCAAAAATGTTGTTATTATGAATAATAAATAGCTAGGCGTACGTACCCAAGACATGGGCTATGGGCTTATTGGCTGTATGGTCCAGCGATTGTTGCGGTATTTGTAAACAACATGTGTAAACATATCAGTGTGACAGCTAGAACAAATAATCTTGATTCGAACAGCTGTTCGTTATTTCATAGATGATTATGTAATAAAAATTGAACGAAAATTTGACAAAAATCGCACAAAACTGCATTTTTGAACGTCCGTAATTTTATTTACAAAGTAGTGAGGCCATATTTTAATGGCTAAAGACACTCTCGCCAATCCAGTAAATACATTAAAATGACTTGGATCTTGATAGGCAATCTCGTTTTCATGGAGAAAATTGCTTCTTTAATGTATATAGATAGATAGCAGATAAATTTGCAGATTATATTAATTATTGTGAAACTATCTCCATCCTGGGGCGAGAGAGTCGCTGTCTCGTAGAGTCAAATTTCCAGAGCATCAACTTCCATCATAATTCCTGAGCATACAAAAAAATGATACTTTGGCAATACGGGGTGCGTCAAAAGCACCACAAGAAGGAGAAGTTGAGGTGACCGCGGTCAACAAGCCACCTCAACTAGTGTTGAGCCGTTAACGTGCACGACAACCCACTTCTACGGTTTTTTTTGTGGCGGGTTGTCGTGGTGGCACCTTTTTGGGAGTGTGCATGAACATCAACTTGCCAGTATTCTCTTTGTTGTGGCGGCACATTGTTGACGTGGCATCTTGTTGCCAGCGAGCGCAACAGGAGTGGTGGAGGTGCAGGTCCCACACAGCACAACAAACCTATTCCAACCTTGTTCCAAGCTTATGCGGTAAATTCTACAGTTATTGGCACCTTAACGGTAAGCTTCGGAGTAATCTACCACAGCTCCTTTGCAATACTTTTTTAATATCTACTTTTTTTAAACATGTAGCAGAATGTACTGAGAATACAGGGATGTATTTAGAAAATATAAATATCATTTCTTAAGTTATTAAAAAATGAAAATGTTAAAAATACAAAACCCATAGTTATTGGCACCATCAACCATAGCTATTGTCACATCTTGGCACGGTTATTGCCACCTATAAAGAAGTCTACAAATATTACAATTTTAGCGTCCCAAGTGATGCACTTTGTTGTCTTACGTGATGTATGCCTAATCATATTATAGTATATAAAAGAAATACCCCCGCCGCAGCAAACCTGCAGACTAAGTGAATTTCCATTTGCTTGATTGGATTTACACACAAATGTCTCTTTAAAACTTCATTTTAGCGAATTTCCCATATAGGGAATAAGCTATTACCGTAGTACTCATGGTAAGACCTGGACGCGGGACCAATTTTTTTTTTTCGTTTTGAGGTCCCTAGAGGCCAAAAACACCATCCGTTCAAATTCATATATATATATATATATATATATATATATATGTGTGTGTGTCCGTCAGCACGATAACTCGAGCAAAAATGATCCGATTTTGATGAAATTTGGTACAAACGTGTAAACGTACGTTTATTCGAACGAGTTCGCGATCCAGCATGATCGGACCATGGCAACGGGGGTTTACGAGGGGTTTTATGGGGTAAAAATGGGTTTTTCCCATTTTTGACCCAAAAAACATAAAATTTAGCAATTTCTTTCCAAACCATTTAAAAAAACAAATAATTTAGTATATTGAAGCGTTATTATGCGCCTAATGATTACGGAGAAAATACCAAAAAATTGTAAATTTAAAATTCCCATGTTATTCTTATGGAGAATAAGTAAACTGTTGTAGTTTGCTTGTTTATGAACATATTTTTATCAAATTTGGAAAATGTTTTTATTTTTTACTAACTATTAACGTTTTACAAAAAAAACAGTTTTACCCTCCCTGATGCAGCAAACCTAAGTACTTGTTAAACTTATTCTATTTAAATCAAGAATAAATGTTATATTTTTAAGTAGACATTTCAGTGTAAATCCAATCAGTCAAATGGAAATTCGCTTAGTCTGCAGGTATGCTGCGGCGGGGGTATTATGTTGTTTGTTGTTGTTCCGGGTCGGTTGACAATCAATAAAAGGTTAAATTACCTGTGTCCGCCGGTCGATCCTGTAGAATCCTATTGCAGGATATGCATTTCGGCGACGTTAAATCGCCATCATCAGTCCTTAATATAAGAGCTTGAACTTCCCTATTAGGTGCGTCTTAAAGTTTTGAAAACACGTACACGAATTTTACATATGACGAAACACATAAATACATGGTAGGCCTACTTTTAGCGAATTTCCCTTTAGGGAAGTAGCTATTACCGTAGGTCTCATGGTAAGACTTAGGCCCGGGACCGATTTACTTTTTCATTTTAGTGTCCCCAGAGGCCAAGAACACCATTCGTTCAAATTTTTATATATGTATATATATAGATTTATATATGTGTGTGTGTGTGTGTGTCCGTGAACACGATAACTTGAGTAATTTTTATCCGATTTTGATGAAATTTGGTTTGAAGGTGTAAGGCGGGATAAACTTGAATGAGTTCGCGATCCAGCATGATCGGACCATGGGAACAGGGTTTTATGGGGTAAAAATTGGGTTTTCTCACTTTTGACCCTTAAAACACAAAATTTCCCAATTTTTCTCTAAACCTTCTTTAAGAGCTTTGAAAAACAAACAATTCAGTATATCAAAGCGTTTTTGTACGGTTATTGGTTACGGAGAAAACTAAAAAAATGGTTAATTTAAAATTCCCATGTTATTCTTATGGAGAATATTGAAAAATGTGGTAGTTTGCTTGTTTATGGATATCTTTTGGTCAAACTTGGCAAATATATTAATTTTATACTAAGCAATAATTATTTTACTTAAAACACACACTTTATTTGTTTCCTTGTAGCAGCAAACCTAGGTACTCGAAACCTAGTGTTACTTAAATAGATCAATTGAAAATAAACTCAGCCAAATGGAAATTCGCTTAGACGGCATGTTTGCTGCGGCGGGGGTATTTACTTTTACTGTGGACATATAGACGCGCGTCGGTCGTGTGTCGAGTCTCGACTGGAGTCAGACTTTACTTGCACTTTGCAGAGTTGACCTTTGTCGTGTCTCTGTCCTTTGTAGCTACCGGTGGTGTTTAATTCAACTTTAACAATACTTCGAATAGGATATGTTGGATTGTAGTGTACTTTTATCATTCAGAAGATTGTGGGGGTAGTTTTTGAGGCTTTGTAAATTTCGTATTGCTCTAATGATGTCATTAGGCCTACTCGACTTTTTCTACAAACGTGTAAAGATTTTAAATTTTCTTTCAAGCTGGAATAACTGTGATTACTATTGACTAGGTGCTCGGCAAAATTGGATTGTTGTGTTAGACTATTTTTGGGAAGGTGTTCTTTAAATCTCTTAATAAATGGTCTGCCAGTCTGTCCAATATAGAACTTATTACAGCCATTGCATGTTATCTTGTACACTCCCGACTTTTCACTCAGGTTTTTATCACTTTGTTGGGCTCTAGGTTTGAGGAGATTTTGGACGTTATTGGATGTTCTAAATGCTACAGTTTTGCCATGTTTTTTGATTTCACTTTTTAGGGTGTGGGGGATCTTTTCTCCATATTCAACTGAGACAAATTCTGTTTTTATTTTAGGCCTTGGATCTGCAGTATCTGTACTAATTTTCTTTCGATATTTGCTAATTAATGTGTCGATTATGTTAGGATTAAACCCATTTTTGATAGCTATATATTTATTGATATTTCTCTCGTTCTCAAAGTTTATGGGGCTAAGTGGTACTGATAGCAATCTATAAACAAAGCTA